AAAAACTACTGTTTATATATTGACCATTTCCAGGCAGAAAATTTTATTGCATTTTATGGCGTTTCTGCTATATTTATTGGCACGCTGTGAAACAACAAAAGTGACGCGATAAAGGGCTGTAGGAAACTGGAAAGTTATAGCATAAAAATTCTCTTTTAAATTAATTGTTAAAAGTTTACCTTCAATAAAAAACCACTTTTAACCCTTTATTTCGTAAAGTAAGCGTTTACGGAAGCGATAAAAATCAAGGGAGAGCCACCTGTCCCGTTCTCCCCTTTCAGCCAGACCGACCCGATAGGATATTCGATCATGGGCCCTGCTCGGTCAATCTCTCCCTCTCTCTTCTCTCTCTCTCTCTCTCTCTCACTCTCTCGCTCTCTCATTTTCATCTTCGAGATCCCACTTCCTTTTCACACCTTTCCGCGCCAAAATCCGTGCGGCAAAATGCGTGGGGGGGGGAGTGCGAACAGTTCCATCTTCTTTTTCTTCTTCTTCCCCCTCACCCTCGCAAAAATTTCCCAGGATCAACCGGTTGTCTATCTGTCGGTTCAGCCCCGATTTATCGTTCCGCCCTCCTCAGCTTAAATTTTTCATATGCTTTTGCCCCATTTTTCACTAAGGACAGGGTTCTGGCATTCTTACGATTTTTCTCTTGCTTTGTAGGGTAATTATTCTCGAAGGTGCTAAGCCTAAGCCTAAAGCAACCCCAGGCCTAAGCCTAAGCTAAGCCTAAGCCGATACCGAAGCCTAAGCCTACGCTTAAGCCTAAGCGTGGGCGTCCTTAGTAAGCGGAAGGCTAAGCCGAAAAACCGCCTAAGCTCGAACCTAAGTCCAAGCCTACGCCTAAGCCGAAACGTAAGCCAAGCCTAACTCCGTTATTTTGCTCTTTAAACCGCGTCACCCCTCCATTTTTGCACTTCTCTGCCCCTTTAATCACCAATCCCCCCTCCCACCCTCCACCTCATTTACTTAAAAGTACAAAACACACCCCAAACACTACCCAAAACAGCCCAACCTATTTGTTTGTTTTGTCGTCAGAAGGGGACAGATAGGCAGATACGGGCACAGGCTATCACAACTGTCAATCTAAGCAAGGCTCTGCTCCTAAGATTCGGCTGCTAATTTATTCCGTCAAAATACAGGGTGCCGAGGATTATTCGCTCGAGTCCAGCCCATTTGGAGGACTTGTGAAATTCTGGGAATATTGGTATGGATTGTTGTCATTTTGCTCTGTTTGAGGCCTAGCCAAAGTTGTCTAATTATTCGAGAAATAAGCATAAGCCGAAGCCTAGAGATAAGCCCCGACCCAAGCCTAGGTCGGTTTGTCCTTACTCTCTCTCTCTCTCTCTCTCTCTCGCTCAATCTCTCTATCTGTTTCTAGCTCTCTCGTCTTCTCTCAATCGCTCACTCACTTTATCTTTCTCTCTGTCACTCTCTCTCTATCTGTCTCTCTCCCTCTCTCTTGCTTTCTCTATAACGTTTTCTCAAAAAAATCTCTCTCTCTCTCTCTCTCTCTCTCTCTCTCTCTCTCTCGCACTCTATCTCGCTCGAACCTCCTTTTTTGTCTTTGAACCATTTAACGCCACAAGCTCGAGAACGGGTAATTTTTTCTTTGCCTAGCTATTTTTTATTAAAGAAAATGAGATATCCTGAGCGTCATTTCATGCTTTGAAGCCGGTCACAAAATAAACAAGCTCCCTTTTTCTGACGGGTCCCGTCTGCCTCTCTATCTACTTCCCTGCCTTCCGAGGCGTAATTTGCCCTCCTCCGGGTCCAGCTTCTCCGCCCTGTTGAGCCTTTTTTGAGCTCGGCCAGCCGGGCCGGCGGTCTGATAGTGGCTATCAGAAGGGGAATTCCCGATTTGAGATTACAGGAACACCCCCGATTTTCATCTAGCTGCCCACACAGTTCCAATTTCGCTTAATACCAGACCTTTGGTCTGGCAGGGAACCTTATGGGAAATATTTGGGTTCTGCGGCCCCTTTCTGAAGCTTTTTGCATCCTCAAAGTCTTTTAACACGGGTTATTATATTCGCTTCTTTCTGACTACGTTTGACATCGTAGAATTGAGTTTTAAAGGGACTGGAAAACGCAAGAATCCACTCCACAGGCTTCTAGGTATTGCCATAGACTTTCCAGCTAGACTCACTTTCCAACTTTCCAGCTTTTCCGCCTCTCTCTCTCTCTGTCTCTCTCTCTCTCTCTCTCTCTCTCTCTCTCTCTCTCTCGTTCTCTTCATCTCTCGTTTAATGTCTCTCCCTCTATCGCTCTTACTGTCTCTCGCGGTCGCTCTCTCGCTCTGTCCCTCGCTCTCATCTCGGGTCGATTCTTTTTTTCAATCCTTATTTTTTGCAAAATTATTAGGAAATTATAATTATAGCATTCTCTATGTCTCATATGCTCGCCCCTCGCCAATACGCCAGCGACGTTTCGATTTAATTAAGCTCGCGAATCTGTAGGCAGTTGTCATTACCTAGCCGTCACAGGGGGTCAATTCTCATCCTTTCCAAGCCCTTTAAAAATTGTCGTCATCACTTATTAGGAAAACTTTCAAATGAGCACCCTTCACTTTCAGGGGCGGGATGCCCGTGCAACGATGCGGCCATCAGCTGTCGCCGAAGAAACGGCAGGAACGCATCGACACCCTATGTACATTCGCAAAAACGGCAAACAGAGGGCAGGTTAGTGATACGGTAGCTGCAAAAAAATGCAGAAAAATGGCACTGGACTGTTAGCGGGGGAGGGACCCAATACCCATTTTCCCCAGTGATCCCGTAAGGCCCTATAGCAAACTATAAGTGTTTTTATAGCATTTCTACAGTGTTAATCCAAAGAAAGCACGTAAAATGACAAAATTCTTGTTTATTTTTGATTCTCAGTTCAAAAATGTATGAAAAATGACAAAAAACGTGATATTTTCAAATTTAAAAATTTTAAAAATTTTTTTCGAATTTTTTAACAATAAAAACTACTATTAAAACACTATAATAATACACTATATATTATCAACAGGTATGTCTAAACCGCTAAAAACTAGTTTCCCCTGCTAACCCCCCCCCCCGCTACTCGCCCAGTACCAAAAAAGCGTCGTTTCCACCCGTCCCCCCCGTCACTATATCATTTTTCGAATTGAACAGCCCTAAAAATAGCGAAAAGACCACTGGCGAACAGCTCTGTTCAGCACGCAGCTTCCGAAAAAAATAGGATTAATGACCGGCCAGGGCACCCGGGGCACGGGAACCCGGCCATTTTCGTGGAAACGCCGCGGTTTTTTGGCGGCCAACCGGGTGGAGGGGACACACCAAAGATAAGGCCCTAACTATACGGGGGTTTTCCCCCCTAACACCTTTTTTGAGGGCCTCTTCGTTTCGCGATAAGCCCCCTAACGTGGTGGATAGGTACTGAACGTAGCGCTGGAAAAGGAAGTGGGATTGATCGGACAAGAGGGACCAGGGTTACATATTGATCAAATAAATATACTAACATTCATTAAACTTTATATAAACATAAATTAAGCGCTTAAGATGTCCCAAAAATGTACGACGTCATCTCCATCCCCCAGTCCACCGTCCACGAGCTGATCTTGTTGCTGACGCTGGGGGGGATCCGGCGCAGATCCTTGAAAGTTGGTTGATTTTTGGAGAGAGCGAAAGCCGGAGAGAGAGAGGCAGAGAGTGAGAGAGAGGGTGAGAGAGGAGATAGAGAGAGAGAGAGAGAGAAGCGATAGAGCAGATAGAGCACGCGAGACCGAGAGAGGGAGGGAGTGAGAGGGAGAGCGAGTAAGTTAGCGAGCGAGAGAGAGAGAGAGAGTGAGAGAGTGAGTGACAAAGAGAGACCGACAGAGAGAGAGGGAGGGAGAGCGAGAGAGAGAGAGTGAGAGACAGAGAGAGATAGGTAGAGAGCGAGGAAATGAGCAAGAGTGAGAGCGACATTTCCCGCAACTCTCCTAACTACAAAAACTCCTTTGCAGACGGGTACGGCGACAAGGTGCTCGCCGAACGGGTCGACTCGGGCTCGGTTTGCCCGGAGTGTGAGAAGAAGTACGAGTCATTTCTCGAATTCGCGGGTCCGATCTATGAAGAAATGTGGGAGCAGGTGAGCTCCATTCTGCCCTTAAATGTGTATTTAAAAATTTTGACGATCTCGAAGAAATACAAAATGGACATAGGCTTCTACGGTTTTGGCATTCAACCGTTTTAAGTATATTTTTAAGGCCTTTGGTGAATTACTCAACTGTACCACACTAAAAAGTGACCCATAGGCCATTGGTCGCATTCCGGAAGGCTACAACCCTCGGGATGCAGCTCTTATTACCCTTTGCCCCCCCTAAAAAGTCGAGCTGGATAATAATCCTTGGGGCGTTCGGCGAGACATCCGAGCAACGGGTCAGCTGTTTTCTAAAGTGTTCCTTAGGGGGGACGCCTAGTAAATGTCGTCGGCAGGGGAAATCTGGCAAAATTGACAAGCACGTCCGAAAATCCCTCAAAAAAATACTGCCTGATGGGATAAAGGGATTTGCTATCAGCATTTCGGAATTCGTGTTGTCGAAATTTGATTTTGCGAAATTGATTAGTCCCAAAAATGCATATTTCCGCGTACCAAAATTCCGAAAATGTCGGGATCGCCGCGGCTTCGCAAGCGCAGTTTCCCCTCCCCAACCGACCCCCCACCTAGCGTATCTCGGCTCCCTGTTCATCTACCGGTGTGTGTAAAGTATACCAAAATACTCGCGAGCGCAAGACGAACATTTTGGTATAATTCACACACCTGTAGATGAACAGGGAGCCGAAATACAAACTTTGGGTACCGGCTGGGGGGCGGGTAAACTGCACTCTAACCGATTAGAATAACCTAAATGCCACGATTGAAAAATCAATACGTAAAAGCCAAAAAAAACCCTGCCAGAAAATACGGTAATTTACCCACTTTTCCAGACACCCCTGAAGATCTCATGCTCTACGCCGGGTAAAGGAGTACCAGGTGGAAGTCTGCCACTTTGTATGGATGGTGGAGGCATGAGGTTAGATATCCCTATCCGATTACGCGATGAAAATTCTTGCAGAGGTCTCGTCTCGGTGGTGTGTCTAATGTTCTCCTCACGACGTCTCCTCGGCAATGACAAGCTGCCCGACTATTTTGATTGGCTCATCGGTACCAGGTATCCATAGTTAGCGGAAGTAGCAGATTAACGTAACCTATACTTTTTCCTTCCCTGTATAACCCATAAAATCTACCATCAACAACTTTCTTGCAGCACTGGCTCGATGCTGGCCCTCTCGATGGCGCAGGGAAAGAACCTGCAGGAATGTTTCTTCCAATATTGGGATATGAAGCGGAAGATCTTCTTGGATGGATCGACGATGGCCCGATTATTCGGGAATCAAGTCCCGGAGCAGACGAGGAATATTGAGAAGATTCTGAAGGATTGCTTCCCAAATGAGACGTTCCATCAGTCGATCAGGTGGGTGTTAAAGGGATTGCGACAGGTGGTTAACGCCATAATATTTGTCTTATTAGCGCTCATGAAAAAAATAATATATTGAGAAATAGATAAGCCCTCTAAAAGGTTACAAAGGACTGAAAATTTTGGTCTAGCGATATTTTTGTATTTTTTTACAAGAAATTCGAAGTTGTACAAGATAGCAAAAGCTTCTTAGAAACACTGTTGCATTTAAAAAATTGGATCTTAACTGGTAAGGAAACAATGCCCCCCACCCCGATAATACCAAAGCTCCAAGAATATCGTGCTTGAATTTCTCGTCTTCTGGCTAATGTCATTTTCCACAAAGTTTCCCTGCTAGCATGCCCTAGGAAGGGAGAAGAATTACACAAATTCCCGTTTCCAGACGCCTTACCGTACCCGCCTTCGACATCACCACATCCCCAGGCCGTCTCTACACATTCCGAAATTACGCCTTCGACAAACCGTTCGGCAGCGCGTTGCCCGAAGAGCAGGATGTCCTCTTTAGAGATGCGGCGAGGGCTAGCAGGTAATTACAGACAGTTCTACCGTAACCACCACCTTTTCAGCGCGGCACCCACCTACTTCGAGCCGTTCCACTACAACAACCGGAAGCTGGTCGACGGCTCTTTTGTCGCCAACTCTCCCCTAAACATCTTGTGGAAGGTCGGTTTCCCGCTGCTTCCATCGACTTTCCAATCGCTTATTCGATTACGCCATTGAATTGCAGGAATACGACAACTTCTTCAAGTACGACAACAAAATCCGGCTGCACGGCCTCGTGTCGATTGGGACTGGAGAGCCGGCGTTGATGGAGAGGAAGATCAAGGAGTTGACCACGCTGAAGAGGAGGGCTGTACATATTGCCACTGTTGGCACGCTGATACTTGAGCAGGTGAGATAAAGCAGAGGCAGGGGCTTTGCGCAAGCCAGGCATAGGCTTGAGCTTAAAGGAGTCGCTTTTGGTGCTTGGAGTTTCGGGACGGGCAGCTAGTTGATAGAAATTGGCACATCCCGTTTTAAAGTGTGGATAGGTGTTTGAAACATTTAATTCGCGCTTTTTCTAGGTCGGGTCATTTCCTCGGTTCCGTCGTTTTCGGGGCTGGGCAGGGCGCCATTCGTAACCTTCCGCCAGGCCCCACCGCTTGCTGGCGTATGGTAGCGCGCTCTACCAACTTTTAATTTATTTTGCCTCGGGTGGCAAGTGTAAAGGTCAAACTCGTAGGCCAACGACAGCCTTGGCCATGCCTAGGACGAGATAAGGGTGTGAAGGCCTCATGTGGCAGGGGCGGTCGCCGATCACCTCATCACCACTGGGTCCGGAACCGGGAACATTTTTAATTAATTAAATTTTCTAAACACCTTTATCGTCAGCACTTTTGAAACGGGTGTTGCTCATTTTTTTCTCTATCGAACTAGCTAGGTCCCGTCCCGAAACTCCAAAAGCACCTAAAAGCGACTCCTTGTTAGGCTTAGGTCTGGGCTTAGGCTTAGGCTTAAGATCGGATTAGGTTTAGGCTGTGGCTTAGGCTTCGGTTTCGGCTTGGGCTTCGCCTTGGGCTACGGCTTGAGCTTAGGATTGGGCTTGGCCAGAGGCGTGGGCTTAGGATTAGGCTTAGGCTTAGGCTGAGGACGAGGCTCAGGGCTTGGGCTTGGGCTTCGTTCGCCTCGGGCTACGGTTAGGAGTGGTCCCCGATTAAACTTAGGCTTAGGCTTGGGCAGAGGCATGGGCTTAAGCGTACAATTAGGCCCGATTTGGGCTTCAGTTTAAGCTTGGGTTCCGCTTATTTTACACATCAAATTCCTGGAAACCGAATTTTTTCAGTGCGTCGGCCAGGACCAATGCTCGGTGGAGGCAGCTTCGGACCGTTGCGCGGCACAGGGTGTCCCCTTCGTGCGCCTCTCGCCGGTGGGCGTCAACGTGCGCATCGATCAGATCGACGACGGCAAGCTGTGCGACATGATCTGGACGACGTTGCGGTGGCTGGTGGGTTTTATTGGGGCGAGCTAGCCGAGATTTCCGTCAAAAATCTTTCTAAATAACTCCCTTACAGTACGACAACGTGCAAGAGGTGGACAAACTAGGCGACATTCTCTTCAAACTCCACTCGGACCCTTCGCAGCGTGGCCGTCAGCGGCGCAGCAACACGATTCTGTAGCCTTCACGGTCCCTTTAAAACTGAGAAAAATCATTTGTGATATGCAGAAGCCATTTCCTAGAGAAACGAGTCCTTTTTCCCCGGATTGCCGGTATCTATGTGTGCAGTCATGTATTTATTAACTGGTTTTTGTTCGCTTTATTTCTCTTTATCTCTAGCCCTCACTCACTCTCGCTCTATTTCCCTGTTTCTCTTTCTATCGCTTGCTGAAAATCTAGAGAAATAACGAATAGCGGCTAGAAAGAAACACAAGAGCACGAGTGTGGCATAGGGAGGGAGCGAGAGAGGCAGAGAAATAGAGAGAGGAAGAGATAGCGAGAGATAGCGAGAGAGAGAGGGATAGCTAGAGAGAGTGAGAGGGAGAGACGAAGAATCCCCAGAAGTGAGAGTCAGACAGAGATTGCAAAAGAATCCTCTCTCTCCGACCTGTCCTCCCCCTTCTTCTCTCTCTCTCTCTCTCTCTCTCTCTCTCTCTCTCTCTGCTATTCTATCGTCCCCCCCGCCAATTTCCCCCTTACCCATACCGGTCGCACAAATTTAGGAATTTTTCTAATTTTGCTAGGGTACGGTAGGTGGAGATGAAGTTGCAATGTAGCCGGAAATTCCCTTCGTCTCTACCCCCAAATCCCCAAACCCCGGGTTCCCTAGGCGTCCCAATTGTTCCGCTCCATTCCTATCTCCACCCCCCGGTCCGTGTACTACTGTATTTCTCTGTACTCTGCTGTGTGTTGTTGTCATTTTTGCGGCCGATGCGTGCATTTTGCGAGTATGTGCATCTCGTTATCTCTCTCTCTCTATCTCTCTCTCTCTCTCTCTCTCTCCTCTCTATGTCTATTTGTTGTCCTAGCATTTCCACTTTTTATAGCCATTTTATTCTTTTTAGTCATTTTTATCTATTTTTTTTTGTGTGCCTCGAAGAGCTTGTTTTGCCATGTGGTAGTCGCTTTTTTCACGTTTCTTCTCGGGGCTCAATTCAGCCCCAATTCAGGGTTACGGTAGCTGGGTTACGGTAGACGCAGATACCGTACACCTCGTTTTTCGTCCCTTTCTCTTGTCGGAAGCAGCTTGTGATCCATAGAAACCCTTTTAAGGACTTTAACACGTCTTTGGATTAAATTGCTGTTCCGTTTTTGTCTATATTGTGTTAACGCACCCCCGGTGACGAATCAGTTATAAAAATATACCGTAATGCATTTATTTCTAGACCACCAAAATCATTTACTACCGAAGTGACATCAAGAATATTTGATCTTGAAAAGTGGATGCGTGGTGGGAAAGGCACAGTACCCTGCTGTACACTGGAAGGTAACGGAATCTCAGGGAAATTTGGGGGTAGGGGGTGAGGACCCGGACAGTGTGGTTTTTGAGGGGGAAACAGGAGGCACCGGGCGTTAAAGGGGCCGGAAAAGCACGGCTGGATTCTCGCGAGATTTAGCCGCAACCGCGACCGCAACGCCCGTCATAACATCGCGTTGCGTGCCGCGACGCGCCAAGATCGACACCGGCTTACCTGCCTTACCAGCCCCTTTAAAGCGAGTCACGCCCTTTTTGGAGGAGAATCGGGGCAGCGGTGCTTTTCCATTATCGGGGGGGCTGTAATTTTATCATATTAAAAGAGGCATTTTTTCCAAACGGTTTTTTATTATCACGAAACTCAAAAACTTTGGAATTGTTCGCTACAAACTACAAAAAAAATCCGATTCTTCTTCGAAAAATGGGGAATTTTGACGAGAATTTCGACCTTTTTAAAGTTTAAAATGATTGGATCCACTGAAATATAGTAAATGTACCAAGCCCCAAATGGTCATTATGCATTTATGGGATTCTAGGAAAAACTGAGCCCCGCCCCCGATAACGCAAAAGCACCGGTGGAGCCGGTAGCTGGAGCAATATTTTTGATTATATTTTAAGGGGCCGGCAAGGCAAAAATCACATCGACCAGGCTTTCAATTGCCAGTCCCTTTAAAACACCCTACAAACCACATTTCATCAGACAATTTGAGAGCAGAGGGGAAGGGCGCAAAACTCGGAACGACCCGCAAAATATAGCTATTAATGGGGGAACTGAAGAGGAGCAAAAATGAATTCGTGCCTAGAACGTCTCCAACTCGGTCAGATCCTGCGTTTCCGGCGGACGCGTCGAGGTAGAATGCCTGAAACGGCACGGTTCTAGCAAAATACCGGAAAACTCGGATTTTTGCTTGCATATTCGGATTAAATTAATTAAAGCAAATTAATGAAATAAAAAAAAAAATAAAAAAAAAAAAACCCCCAATTATTTTTCTTTTTTTTTATTTTAATTATTAATTAATAAAAAAAAAAAAAAAAAGATTAGAGCCTTCAAACTAAAAAAACCTACTTTGCCTTGAAAAAGGCGTAGCACTTGTACATGACGTAGGTGAAGAAGACGCAGAACGCCGCGTAGATCAGGATCGGCAGCACCAGATAGATGAGGGGAGTGCTGGAAAATTGAAACTTAAATTTTGATGAAAAAATAAACGATTATTCGATCAATTTTCTACCAAAATTTCGAATTCTTATGACTTTAAAAGTTTTTAGCTAGTTTTTCCACCTGAAATTTAGTTAAATTTTACTAAAAATGTGCTTAAAATGTGATTAAAATGAGAGTTGCGCTGAAAAAAATTAAAACTTAAATTTTGATTAAAAAACAACTATTTTTCGATCGAAATGGCCATGATTGACCAAAATCTCGGCTTTTTTATCGGTTTTAAAAGTTTTTAGCGAGTCTTTCCACCTGAAATAGAGTTAAATTTTACTAAAAACATTCTTAAAATGAATATTATTACGTTACTAGACTTTTACAGAACAATCCATACCTAAAATACACGGGAGGAACCGTATCCTTTTGACTGTGCGCCTTGACCAGCAGCATCCACGTGGTCAGATCCGCGTACGAGCCGAGCGTCAACTGGAATCACGCGTTCTTAGTGTATTTAATGGATTTTGGCGATTTTTCGTACGCTACCCACCTGAAAGACAATAAACGGCACCAGATAATAGCACTTATGCCGCCAGAGGCCGATGTAGCAGATGGCCACCGTTAGCAATTGGAATAGCCTAAAAATCGTTGATAAAATTGGTTTCAATGTCTATTTAATGTGCTTATAAAACTAAATATAACGGTAAGAATTATTTATTAAAATTTTAAAACCCCCGAACTCACCGGATCGGCGTCAACGGCAAATTGCTGGGCGACTGCCAGTCATGGTTGTGAAACGTGTAAATCATCGCTAAAAAAGGAGAAAATGTCTAGTAACGTATTTTGGTATTTTAACAAGGTTTTTGATCAAATTTAGTTATCTAAAAGCCAAAAAAATTGGAAACCTGGTAATCATTGGAAATTTGACATTTTTTTTTGCGCAAAAACGATTATTTTGGGTGAAAAAAATCGCTGTTTTTGCGCAATTTTTAATCGCGATTTGTAAAGTTTTAGCGTTCGGGGGTAGGAAAAAAAGTACTTCTCTTTGTATTATTTTTACGACATTATTTTCGGCATACTGAAATTTCGCGTATGAAAATCGGCGTGGAATGTATTTTGTCGTACTGTTTTTGCGCAATTGAATTTAGTTTGTGGTACAAATAACGTTAGTAAATCAGGAAATCCCTTTCACCCACCAAGAGCAATCTGATGCGCCCAGAACGACGTGAGGACGAAGGCGCCGATTTTCGAGGAAAAACGCCCAAAGCAGCATCGCGCCGCGCCGATGCGACGGTTGTCATCGCGGCGGATGGATTCCGGCTAAAACATTGTTAATTATTTTTGTAAAATCGAAATTATGCTTTTTTGTAGTTTTCCAAGGCTTAGAAAACCTTTTTTGGGCTCAAGGCCTTTTTATCGCCTTTCAAAAACGGGTTGACATGATACCAGACTGGCGAAAAAACCACGTGCAACCTGCCCGTGATCCAATTGCCAAACATCATAGATTCTAGCCATCACCTCGTGACAACCCCCATTCCACCCAATGCATAATTCCTCCAATCCACCCTACCGTCTCCCCCTAAAATAAGAAATTCCCACCGGATAGGGTGCCTGATCGACATCGTCGTCAGCCATCGCCATCCCTCCACCGCTTCTTCTTCTCTCTCCTGCCCCGCACTCTCTCACCGTCTCATTTCGTTTGGCTTCTCCAGCGTCACTCGCTCTCTCTCACCCACCGACCGTCTCTCCTATCTCTTTTTCGGAAGCCCTGCAAAATGGCTGTGATGATGGGCACACGGCAAATCGAGGGCAAATAAAGAGCGGGCAAGGCGAAGAAAGGCGGTCCATAGATTTTTGAAGTCATAATATTTAAAGGTGATTTTTAGACAATCGGAGAATTCAATGAAAAACTAGTGTCGCTAGTCAATTAAAGTATACATTGCTGGAAATTTCGTTACAAAATTCACTCCAAAAATTCTTTTTTTTTGTGAGTTCTACGTGATTCCAACCCCATATTCAATTTCTATGTGGTTTTTTCGTTTGTAAAACACCCTTCTTCTTTATTGGCTTCGAAATGGGAAGATTGCCATTTTTCAGGCCAAACAATTATGAATTGATCGTTCATTAAAATAAACTCCAAAAATCTCTTTCGTTGAATTTTTACGAGATTCCTGCCCTTCATTAAATTTCTATAACCCCCTTTTCAAGTTCATAAAGCAGCCGGCTACATTGTTGGCTCAAGAATCGAAAAGGAATTTGACATTTCCCACGCCAAAACAATTATGAATCACCAAAATACGTGTGGGAAAAGGCCTTATAACGAAAATAGCCTCTACTACCCCGACATAAAGATGTCAAAATTGACCTCTACAAAACAAACGCCCAAAATATCAACCGAATAGAACCAGCCAGCAAGAAGTGGGGTTAAATTTTGAAAGGTTTGAGTTGTGGCGAGTTGCGTGATGAATGGGGATGCCGGGGTGCCGTGGGAACGGGCGAGAGAGCACGACAATACGAGAGGGGCCACAGATCAAAGGGCAACCGAATAGAGGATGGGATCGGAATCGAGGGCTCGCAGGGCAAGAGGGCCCAGACATCAGGGGGAAAAGCCAACCGGAGAAAGACACACTCACAAAGCGCTTTCTAGCCGCAGAGGCTGTGCCTGCTCGCCCCGACCCGAGCCAAGTCCCTTCCTTCCCCCCATCGCCCAGCTGCCATTTTCTGGGCCTAAAATTGCGTGTCGTGTACGGTTTCTTGGGTTCAAGAATGGCTCGCGCGTCTTTTTCGGCTTATGGCTTTGAATCTTCGCTCAAATAAGCCGCTTCAAAGCGAGGGAGTTCATAAAGACGGCAGATTTTTTAGATTTCGAGGTACAAGGCAAAATTTGCATGATTTTCCGCTGAAAAACACCCTACTACCTGCCAGTAAATTCCTCCTTTAAAGGTTAACCTTACTTAGATACGTAAAAAAAACAAAAAAGCTTTGATTTGGATATTTACAAGCCTAAGCTAATAAATTGTAAGTCTAAAATTTTTCCTGAAAACACACTACAAATTTTAATACATCGTAGAAAACTCCCAATTTTGAAAGCTATCATCCCCTAAATTCCAGAATCGAAAACTTTATCTATTTTCATGCAGAATCTCTTTCAAAACACCCTATCTACCCTGCAAAAATGATTACAATGCTCTGCCCATCTAGCTCCACCGTTACAAACACCTTTTTTCGACGTTAGTCACCCTATTTACATCTTCTTTTTCCCCCTTTTTTCACCTTCTGCTTCCAGTCCCAATTTATCTTTCTTTTTGCCGAGCATCTCACGCGCCTATATTGCAACAAAAATCGGCTCATCAAACACAAAAAGCGGTGCAGCACCTTATCGCAGCGAGGAGGATCAAAAACATGTTTGTTGCAACCCCGAATTTTCTTGCACCATTTTTGGGCCTGCCGTCGAGCGGGCCAAAAGTAGGAGGGCCGATCTCTGAGTGTTTTGCAAAATCGGGTCCTATAAATAGGGCTGAATGCTGGCCCGAATCAGTTCACAAAATTTCTCGAGCTATGGCTGATATTATTGGAAAGCTATTCGGCAGCTTCACTGCAAGGGATGGTAAGCTTTAAAAGTAGCTTGTAGCTTTTAAGGTAGTTCCAGAGTTCTAAAACAAACACCAGGTCCAGGGTATCCGGCCATTCTTGTAGTTTTTGACGAGATTTCGTTTTTTGCCGCTATCGAGCATAAGAGTGCTTTTTCTATTTGCTTTTAGTGATTGTAGTTTGTGGCGTTTATCAGAAACAGCGGGCAAATCACCATTGGAAAGTTGCCCGGGGTTCGAGACTAGCTTTTGAGCAATAGCCCAAAAATGACGTAGTTCTATCCCCAGTAATTTTCTCGACGTTATACATACTAAAAATTGCTACATAATGACGCTATAAAATCGTAGTTTCTGCTAAAAGTAACGCGCCGCTTTGCACACCCTCGGTTTAACGCGATTTTTCACCAACTCCAAGCGCTAGACGTTTGACCTGTGCCCCCGCTCCACCCCCAAAAAGGTAGCATTATTTATGGAGTGGGGGCCCGGGTGCTTCTCGACCATTCCCACATCCAACCCCCGTCTGGCTCGTCTCGCCCTTTGCTCCGTATCGTATCTACGGCCTGCCCCTCCATCGGCCCGTCGGCGGAAAATGTGGTGGCGCGCCGCAGCCCCGCCCACCGACACCACAGCGCATCTCGCCACCACCACAATTTCCGATTCGGGCTCAGATCAGGCCATTCGTGTCGGATTGGCTGTACCCCCGCACTGTTAGCCCATTTCTCCGTCCCCCCCAGCCGACCCCTCCGTATCAGGGCTGCTCGCGGAATTGCAAAGGGCCGGGCAATTACCCTTTGATCGGGCGACATATTGTCTATTTTGGCCGGTCGGGTCTGAGGGCGCGGGGGCTTTGATTTTTTGATTTTGATACGCTGGTCTAAATATCTTTGGGAGTTAAGGTTAGCTTTAGCACCTTATTTCGGACCGCATTAGTCGCAAAATTAGAGTAACGAAAGTTTCTTTCCTAAATCAAAAGTCGAAATACGGAATTTAAAATGAAAAAGATGCTAAAAAATTTAAATGCTGAAATTTCCTAAAAAATTCCGCCAACCGATTATGCCATGAAAACTCATGCGCTCCGTTGCATGCTATCTTGCACCTAACTGTAAGGAGGAATCGCGCGGAACTCGCTTTTTCATTTCCGCCTTTCAAACTTTTTCCTTTTTCCTGTCTCTGTTCTCCGGCAAAAATGGATTTTTTCGATCCGAGCAGCATGGCAACTTTCACGTTCACCTCCGAATCGGTCTCCGAGGGTCACCCGGACAAGATGTGCGACCAGGTTTTCTATATTCCGTGTAAAGTTACCCATTTTTTTTAGATCTCCGACGCCGTCCTCGACGCCCACCTCAAGCAGGACCCGAACGCCAAAGTGGCTTGCGGTTGGTTTTGTTGCCTTGATCGCGCGTTTAGATGGGGGATCTCCCCCGAGGTGCAACACTGAGCTGATCATAGCCCGTTCAGAATGACCCTTGCTTACAGAGACGGTCACGAAAACGGGTATGATCATGCTCTGCGGGGAGATCTCCTCCAATGCCAACGTCGATTACCAAACGCTGGTGCGAAATGTTGTAAAGAAGATTGGATACGATGATTCGTCCAAGGGTTCGTTTGTTTATCACTCCTTATTCACTAAAGTTTGAATGGGGGCTTTCCGGGAGGTCGTAGTTTCCATAGTTTCTCAGTTCGCTTTTTCATGGGCACGTGCGGGGTTTTTGGAAATCGATGGGTCCGGGAATGTTTTTTCTCTCTTCCGATTTTGGAACAAGGCCGCTGTGCAAACGAAATGAGATAATGGGCCGCTCATGTCGCGCTCATTTGCGTAGGGATATCACTCTTAGGTTTTGTCTTTGTTTGGACAATTGGCATATCCAAGGCTGTTTTTATTACATTAAGCAATTGGGTTGATGTTCAGCTAGTATTAAAAAACTTCGCCTCGCTGGTGAAAAGAGATCTTTGTTATTTTTATGACCTTTTTCCAGGGTTCGACTACAAGACATGCAACGTGATGGTGGCCCTCGAGCAGCAGAGCCCCGAAATTGCCGCCGGCGTACACGAGAACAAGTCGGATGAGGATGTCGGCGCTGGTGATCAGGTAATTGTTTATTTTGTTTCTATTGTTTTGCCTAGGGCTTGATGTTCGGCTACGCCAGCGACGAGACCCCGGAAGCCATGCCACTGACCCTGGTGCTAGCACACAAGCTCAACGCCCAGCTCCACAAGCTCCGTCGCAACGGCACGATTGCCTGGGCCCGACCCGACTCGAAGACTCAGGTTTTTGGAATCCCAATTTTTTAGTTTTTTTTTTGATTAGGTGACCGTTGAATACTCGCAAGATGGTGGCGCCTGCATCCCGGTCCGCGTTCACACTATCGTTATTTCCGCCCAGCACGCGCCCGAAATCACGATGGAGCAGCTCCGACACGATCTCAAGGAATTGGTCAGTTTCTACGACTTTCTGGGGGTACTCTTTAGGGATTTGGGCGCTTTTGCTTTAGCGGAGGTGCGATTTTTCTTATTAGTGGATAAGTGGGCAGTAGACGCAATACCGGGTATTTTAATAGTGTTGGTAGTGAAGTTAACTATTTTTCAACGGCATAAAATTTCCAGAAACTTCAAATTTTGTTCGTTTTCTATTTGGTTTTCCACCTATTTTTAGCTGAAAAATCTATATTTTGATGTGGCCAAAAAATTTTTAGATTTTTTTTAGTCTAAATTATTATATAAATAATATAATAATAATATAATATAATATAATATAATAATATAATCGCCGGAATGTGATGTATCTGGTCGTTACCTTGAGATTTTTCCAGGTTGTCAAGGCCGTGATCCCCGCCAACCTCCTCGACGACAACACCGTCTTCCACTTGAACCCGTGCGGCTCGTTCGTTATTGGAGGGCCAATGGGAGATGCCGGTCTGACTGGCCGCAAGATCATTGTCGACACCTACGGAGGATGGGGAGCCCACGGTGGCGGCGCTTTCTCCGGCAAGGACCCTACCAAGGTACTCATCTGATTTTTACTGAGTTTCCGTTTTCAGGTCGACCGCTCGGCCGCCTATGCCGCTCGCTGGGTCGCCAAGTCGCTTGTGAAAGCCGGCCTTGCCCGCCGCTGCCTGGTCCAGGTATAAATTTCCAATTGTTTTCACACCTTCCTCTTAGGTTTCCTACGCCATCGGTCTCGCCAAGCCCCTTTCCGTGTTCGTCTTCTCGTTCGGCACCTCCACCCTCACCGAGGCCGAGCTCCTCCAAGTTGTCAACGAGAACTTTGACCTGCGGCCGGGCAAGATCATCAAGGACCTCGACCTGAAGCGCGCCATCTACGAGCCCACGGCCGAGAACGGACACTTTGGACACGAATCGTTCCCCTGGGAGCAGCCCAAGCAGCTCACCCTTAGGTATGAGATTTTAGATATCGTGTTTCGCCTTAACCTCGGCCTCGAATTTTTTTGAATTACGCAAAGGTGTTCTATTGTCCTGTTTCGGAGGAATTGATTTTATTAGAAAAATTACGATGTATTTTGAAAATTGTGGTAATTTTTTTAAATTTGTCAATTTTCAGCGCCGCCATCGCCACCAAAGCCAAGCACCCGATCGGCGTGAACGGACAGCAGTCTTCTCAAAATGGCATCGCCCACTAAACGGCACACACCTCTCTCCCGCTCTCATTTTTTCATCATTGTTATGGTTGATTATTGCCCTGTGCACGGCGGAATATTCCGTCGAAGCATGGTCCCACTACGTGTCCCTCCCCGATCGCCTTCAGTCCCCCACCCATTCCCTGTGATTCTTTGCCAGTAGCTTGTTGCCCGTTTCTCAGCATCGACTGCTTCAGCCAAAATGCCTGGCCTTCCACAAAATTACATCGTGCCTTACCAACGTACTACATCCCTCCCTTCCTCCCAACGCAGCTCTCACTTTTTACACGTTTTATATGCTGCCCTCTGGCAAGCGCCCCTTTCACCTCGCATCGCTTGATTGTTGTTTCAGAATAAAACTAACGGATTCGTAAAAGTTGCACTATTGATGTAGACAGACACGTTTTTACAGCCAAGCCATAAAACGGAAAGTCGGATTTTTCAGGGATTGCGAAACCGGTGACTTCTAAAAGTTCCCGGGTTTACGGTCCAATTCCATCATCTCCGAGGATCTGGGCTGATTTTGGCGTTCGGCGCGAAACGGGCGCGCTCCATGAGCTTGCGGTGTGCTCAATTGCATCAGCCGTCTTCTGCCGGGCTTTCGGGGGAAACGCGCGTGCCGTGTGTTCACAGAGCAACACAACGGATGCTTGGGAATCGGGCAGTGTATCAAAAAGGGACCGTCGCGCTGGCATCCCGGGGTGTATATTTTGTTGTGGGAAAACCCGCGGGGCAAGACAACATGGCGCGCCAGCCGATTTCAGTGACAAGAGGTCCTGTATCATTTCGTAAAATCGCGATCAGATGACTGCCGAATCCTGGGGCCGGGGGGCCGGCAACGTCTAGACCTTATCGGCATCCCTTTACAATGCTAGCGAAACGATACTTCGAAAGCGAGCTGAGGAAGGAATCTAGGGGCAATTCAGCAGTTACCATTGCCGAATTTGAGGGATTGGACTGTTAGCGGGGGGGGGGGGCGGATTTTCAGAAGGGGTAAAACCAAACCGATTTTTTTCCCCGTATCACGTGCGACCCGAACAAAATATTGACCATTTTGATACCATTTCACATATTTTTAGCTATAAAAAATTAGTACTAATATAAATTTCCAAGAACATTTTTTGGTGAAAAATGTCTGTAAAAAGTGGCCAAAACGGGCTACAGTTTCGATTTCCGAAAAATGTCTATATTTTATTGTAACTTTTAAGCTACAAAAGACGAAAATCAAACTGCTAAACTAAGCTCCTAAAGATCAAACGGGAGCCCCCGGGCACAACGCGCGAACTCCGGGATTCCTATGGCGCGCCCCAATGACAGTACCCCCGCCCCCCGGGGCCATCCCCTTTTCCCTCGCGTAATGGCCCGTTTAGCTGGTAAAACATAAAAAGAAGTCGTTTTACAAAGAAAACAATAGAAAAGTGAAGTGAAATACATTTACAGGATAGTTTCTGTCATGTATACTCTCCAGTAGATGACGCAGGCGCACATGCGCTGGGAGCTAGAAGCGTACTAGGCGTTTTGCTTAAATTACTTGGCTTTTAATTGATGCATAGGCTTAGCTTAGCTTTAATCTGTGCAACTGAAGCACAAGCGTAGCGGATCTTAGCTTTAAGATACCGGTCGTCTCAAAAACAAAGTTTGTTGGCGGGTCGCGTACGACCGCTCATGGCATGGCTCAAGCAAGGCTTAGACTTGGTCATACAAAGACTAGGAAGAATGGCTAGCTTACCTTGTATAAGTAGCCTTCTTGCAGTTAAAAATTAGTCTCCTCGGGTCGGAAAAGGCGTCCATATCGTGATAATTCAGACAAAACCGGTGAAGCCATTATTACAAAGTTAATTTACAAAACTATACTAGCCATTTGGAAAGCCGGTTCGCTTTGCATGATGCGCTGAAAGTTTCTTTGCTACTAGCAATGCTGCTGCTCTACTGTGCTCATGAAGCGGAATGGAAAAGCCGGAAACAGATGAACGGAATTAGGTAGGACGTCATAACCGCAGGGATCTCCGTCAGCGTAATACTTCATCCTTAACCTGGAAGCTTTAAACGTAAGCCCATACAAGCGAAATCTAAGCCTTGACTTACCTTCGTTCAGAACCAAGCAAAAGCTGCGTTAAGCCTAGTAATAATGACACAAGCTTCTAGCGAAGCTAAGCTGAGTTATGCTTGGATATAGGGCTGAGAAGAAGCCAAGCTCGTGCTGAAAGCTAAGCCGTGGCTGTGGCGTCGCTATTCCCAGTTAGTTCTGCCCCCAAAATTCAGATATTCTTCTAAAAAGTACTCTCTGGCACGGTAAATGTCTATTTACGAAATATTATAGTAAAACTTACTTGAATTTTGAATAACTACTAATAAATAATGTTTAAATAGAAACTTACCGCCAAACCTGTGTACCAGGTGTACCGGGTGCTATATACTAATTGCAAAAATGTATTCCACTTCACTTTTCTATTGTTTTCTTTGTAAAACGACTTCTTTTTATGTTTTACCAACTAAACGGGCCATTACGCGAGGGAAAAGGGGATGGCCCCGGGGGGCGGGGGTACTGTCATTGGGGCGCGCCATAGGAATCCCGGAGTTCGCGCGTTGTGCCCGGGGGCTCCCGTAAAGATCAACAGGCATGCGTAGGTAGAAATCTCTCCGCTATAAATTTCGCGCCTCTCTAACAGTCCAGTACCATTCGGCATCGAATTTCGCTAACCCTAGTACACCCCCACCGCAAAAATGCTGACATCACACGATTTTTGCCATTGTCCCATTGTGGCACTTTATTTTCGGGGGGCAGCTAGAAGTGGACTGTCTGGAGCCACGACGTGACGACGTGAGTGGTAGAGAACGGCGCGGAGCATCATGGAATGATCCAAGCAAAGAAGGACTGCTGGTGTCAGTTTCACCGAGTGTCGAACCCTGGGATGGCTCTCTTTCTAGCCAACAGACACTACCATACACAACCAGTTGACATGCGGGTAGACCGTATATATCTGTGGAAACCCCGGGGGTCGGACTAGTTGACTTCGCTTTCTACCCCCCACCCACCCACTCACACGCAGCCTCGCTACGCATCGAGACTCATGGTCCGTTATCCTACTATCTATAAAAAAATAGTGTCTGTGTGTGTAGACACTTTGCATAAAAACCCGGGTTCCAGCCATAACTCGAAGGGGAAAGAATTTTTTGGTCCAGAAATAAGGTGGTTTATACCTTATTTTAACGTTTTAAAAACATATGGAAATAGACTAATTTGCATACGAGGCGCTAGGAGCCTCATTTTGGCTTTTGTCGCGCTCGCGGCCGGTTTTTTCTTTTCTCTAGACACTAGACTCTAGACATTTCTCTAGACATGCTACGTCTTCCGGGTTCAAAGCGGAGACCACGAGGAGAATGAGGAGACTGTTGATGAGAAGAAGATGGAAAATGAGAAGCAGAAGAAGGATAGAAAGGAGCTGAAGAGAGATGCTGAACACGAGAAGGTGCTTAATTCCGAGATCGTCTTACGAATTTGGGTTTCAGGAAAATGCGGAGGATGAGCAGAAGAAGGAGATGAAGCGTGAGGATGACGTCTCGGTCGAGGCGGCTGATCAGAAGAAGATGAAGAAGGACAACAAACGCGAGGTGGGCCATGATTTTGATTGGTTCTCGAGTTAAATAAAACTCAGGGTAAATGCCTTTTTTAGGATATGGCCGCTGAGGAAAACGCGAATAAGAAGAAGGACAAGAAGGTGCTGAACATCGCTATGATTTTCAATGTTTTTTCCAGGATGCTTCTGCTGAAGCCGAGGAAAAGCCAATGAACAAAAAGAACCAAAAGAAGCGTGAGGTAAGGATGATTTTAAACCTAAAAAATATCAGGTTGGAACGAAAGTTCTGTCGCCGAGATTTTGGAATGCTGGCTAAATTCGTAGATAGCTCCATTCTGCACATGCGATATGTCATTTTGTAGCTCTCAACCTGAACCGTTTCGGGAGGATGGTCCTGGGTCCTCACAATCAAGCACGGCCGAGATACAGGCCCAAGAAGATTTTTCAAAAATTACGAGAAAGTGTTTTTGCAAGTTATCTCTGCATAGAGCAATTTGCATGCGATACCTTTAACGCCGATCGATAGCTCTCGAGAAGTAGATATCGATAGATGTTGAGATCATCAAAATTGGACATTGGATGGCTGAGATACGGGCCCTTGAAATTTGGCCCGTTTCTTAGAACTTTTCTCAAAATCCCATACATTTCCAAACATTTGACGGCGAGGTGTCGAAAATTACCGCTTTATTTTTGGACTAGCGGAGGGGATTTTGAAAAAATGTATGGGAAATCGAGAAAAGTTCTAAGAAACGGGCCAAATTTCAAGAGTCCATATCTCAGCCATCCAATGTCCAATTTTGATGATCTCAACATCTATCGATATCTACTTCTCGAGAGCTATCGATCGGCGTTAAAGGTATCGCATGCAAATTGCTCTATGCAGAGATAACTTGCAAAAACACTTTCTCGTAATTTTTGAAAAATTTTCTTGGGCCTGTATCTCGGCCGTGCTTGATTGTGAGGAACCGTTTCGGGAGGACCATCCTCCCGAAACGGTTCAGGTTGAGAGCTACAAAATGACATATCGCATGTGCAGAATGGAGCTATCTACGAATTTAGCCAGCATTCCAAAATCTCGGCGACAGAACTTTCGTTCCAACCTGATAGTTTAGGAAAGCGCCGAGCGCGAAGAGGAGATGGAGCACGAGAAGGCGCAGAACAAGAAGGACAAGAAGAAGCGAGAGGTGAGTAACAAACTTGATGCTAACCTTTGTGCTAGGGTAAGCCGGAGAACGAGAATGAGAACGAGAAGAAGGAGAAGCGAGAGGTGCGAAAAGACAAAACCATGGATTTCACTAATTTTTAGGAGAACGCCGAGGAGGAAAAGCCAAAGAAGAACAAGGCGAAACGTGAGGTTTGTGGCTCGAATTGATAATATATTAATAATCTATACTTGGGCATAAAAATTACTTTTTGCACTTTTAGAACTCTTCCGAGGAAGCTGAGAAGAAGCCCAAGGCCAAAAATAACAAGGCAAAGCGAGAGGAGGTCGGCGACTTTTTAAAATTTCACTTTTCGCCTTCAAAAAACAATTTTTAAGCTAGTAAACGAAGCTGCTCACCTTTTTGGAGCAGCTTTTTAATGAATAAACAAAAACAGCATTTCAGAACAGTTCCGAGGAGAAGGTCAAGGTCAAGCACGTCAAAAATCTCAAGATGAAACGAGAGGTAGGCCGGTGAAAAGTATAATAACTCTTGCACGATCCTTAATTCTTAAATTTACGGGTTACTTTCTAAAAGTCGAAAATCATAATGGCGAACTTTCAAAATGTCGTTATTTTTCGAAATGTCGAATGATGATAATCTCGAAAATTTTGAATAGCGAGATTTAATAACGTCAAATTTCCGACTGTCGAAATATTACCCCAAATTCTACGCAAAAAAATATCGACATATTGAAATTTCGGCGTTCTGCAATTTCGAGATTAGGTTTTTTGACGTGTTGCAATTTTAGCATTCTGAATTTCAACACTCTGCAATTTCGACATCACCAATTCTGCTGTTCTTAAATTTCGCAATATCGGAATTTCGGTATTATGAATTTTCACCTCATGATAGCAAATCCTAATTTACACCTAAAACCTCCAGGAAAATTCTGAGGAGCTGAAATCGGCCGAGATGAGCGACTAGGCGGACCCTCCACTTGCTAAAATACGAACCAACCCGTTTGCTTGGCCCCATTCCATGTATTCGCCATTAATGTATCGATCTTTTTGGTATATTTATCATTATATAATATTCGGCAACCGTGCCCACACGAATAAATATTTTTTTTGCATTGGTTTTCGGCGTTTCGGGGTTTCAAAGCGAGTAAAAAGACACACGTAATGGGATGGAACAGATTTTTAAAGTTTTTATTTTTTGGTTTTTAGCCTATGGAAAATCGCCACAAAAATCGAGTGGAATGTAATGAGCCGTGTGAAGTGTTGTAGTTTGTAGCATTTGCCTTCAAAATCGGTGTTCCCCGGGTCGTTCGGGTTCAAGACGCGAGTGAGCATCGTCTGGGCGGTGGACGAGCTGCATGTTGAACGACTCCATCCGCTTCATTTCGGACGTTCTTCGGGGCACCACCCTGAAAATGCTACGGTAAGTGGGGCAAGTTTTAGGCGCGCGAAAAACGGATGATTACGGTACCTGATTGAGGGCGAGTGGACGACGGATGTCTTCTGGGTGAGCAGGGAGCGGGAGAGGGAGCGCGTACTGTAACGGGTCTGGGTCCCGGGTGGAAATGGGGGAACGGCAAAGACAAAAGGCGAGCAACTACGGTGTGGATAGGTTAGATTAAGCCTAAGGCTGAGCCTAAGCCCGCTCTTGAGCGAAGACAAAAGTCGATAGCTCAGCTTAAGCCTCTTCCAAAGCCTGAGCTTAACTCATAGCCATTTTCTTCCAAGAAAAATGATATTTACAGCTGACTACAAACTACAGCTTCAGAAAAATTCACAAAGCTACTGTACACACCAAATTACGAAGGAAGTGGAAAGGACAGCCAAAAACGCACCAAATTAGCATGCCCTTCTCTCATCTATAGGATACACATAGAGGGAGACACACACGCTACCTCAACAGCGTCTTCCTCCGCTCCTTCCCGAATATACCGCCCGTCCACAGTCTGCAAAAACTGTGGTGAGAGAGAGAGAGGGAGCGAGAGAGAGACAAGAGAGAGATAGAGAGAGATAGTGAGAGAGAGTGAGTGAGAGGGAGAGAGACAGAGAGAGAAGAATGGGGGTGTGGGTGAGAGAGATAACGAGAGAGAGAACGAGAGAGAGAGAGAGACAGCGAGAGAGAGAGAAAAGTGAGATACACTCCTCTGAACCTACCGCAACGAAAGCAAAAGCCTCCTCCTGAATATCGACGACGTCATGCAGAACAAAACGACGTTGCACATCTTCCCGATCAGCACCAAATTGTTCGTGATTGGCGGTACGATATCGGCAACGCTGAAATAGACGTTTTTCTAGCCTTTCGAGGGGCTTAGAAGCCAAAGTCACACTTCAGAGGCCTTGGATTGGGCTCCAAAATTTTGTACCAACCGGGGTGGCAGTAGAATGTAGCTCCGAAGGAGAGCAAACAACGCCGACGGTGCTTGCGTTACGGTGAAGCATGTGACGATGGCCATCACCCTAAAATTGAAAGGTGTTTGAGAGTTTAAACATAAGCAAATCTAAGCCTAAGCCCACGCCCAGACTAATCCTTACGTTCTCGTCATTCTCCGCTCCTGCTGAATCTGCGCCGAAGGTCCCTTGTGCTGATGGCAATTCGCGAGCAGCTCCTAAATCATCTTTTTGTCGGCTTCAACATGCCGGAGCTCACCTGGGAATTTCGGTTCTTGATGAGTCTCAACAGGGCAACATTTAGCACGGCAACCGCCACCACTGGTCCCAGCACCGCGAATATCGTGTTGAGGACGGTGGCGTAGTGGATGAAGGACTAAAAAGGAGGGAGTGAGACTGCTCATTTGCTTCGCTGAACCTACCAATCTGGCTTCTGAGGGCAACGGGATACGGTAGATTTTATGGAAGTATTCAAGACCAGCTGGGAAGCAGCTGACCCGCACCAGGGTCTCGTTACAGAATTCTCGCATCTCACAGCGATAGGAAATGTAGTGATAGCTGCAAATGGAGAAATGAGAGAGAGAGGGAGAGCGAGCGAGAGAGAGGGAGAGCGAGAGAGAGAGAGAGAGAGGGAGGCAGAGAGAGTGAGCGAGAGTGAAAGAGAACGTGAGAGACAGGGAGCAAGAGAGAGGGAGAGAGAGGCAGGGAGGCAGAGAGGCATAGAGAGCGAGCGAGAGAAAGAGAACGTGAGAGAGACAGGGAGCAAGAGAAAGTGAGAGAGACAGAGAGAGTGCGAGAGCGAGAGAGAGAGCGAGAGAGAGAGAGACAGAGAGAGAGAGAGAGAGAAAGTGAGAGAGCGAGAGAGAGAGAACAAAGAGCGAGAGCTCCCTTCCGACTTACCTGGTTAGCAAAAATGTCCCAGCAAAAACGACGAACGCCATCGCGACACTCTGTTTATTCTAAAAACCTTTGCTTTATTTCGTCTCCACCCTTAAATTACATTGAAATTGTTGAGCGACCGAAATGGGAATTTGATGACGACCAGCCGCTCGATCGACACTGCCAGCACAAACCTGCAAAAATATTACCAACTCCTTGCAAAACCCTACCAAATTGCCGCCGCGCTGAACCAGTTGCTTAGCGCCTGCACCTGGACCATGATCTGGAACGGAAAAGAGGTTGGAGTCCATAACGAATCTGTCACCTTTTTATAGAATACTCGATAGGAGTTCGAGTCCTGGACACCGGGCAGGGTGGCCAGAAATTGGGGAAAGAGCAGGATCAACACCATCGCGTCGCACAAGGCCAGCAGGGCTAGGAGGTGGTTGGCCCTGAAATGGAAAAATTACTTAGTATTAATTCAGCGTTTCGATATTATCCTTTCGTGAAGGAAAGCTCACCGATTCTTGACTTGGCTTCGCAGAAGGACAGAGATAATTAGTACATTGCCGACAAGGGTCACGAGAAGCTGGATCGGGTAGAGATACTGAAAATCTATCTTTGGCGAATGCTCACTATGTCTCTCTCTCCCTCGATCGCAATGTCTCCCTCTCTCTTTCCCTTTGTCTATCTCTCTCCCTCGCTCTCCCTCTCTCTCGCTCTCGCTCTCCCGCTCTCTCGCTCTCGCTCTCACTCTCTTTCTCTCTCTCTCTCTCTCTTTCCCTTTCTCTCACTCTCTCTCTCTCTCTCTCTCTCTCTCTCTCTCTTTCTCTCATTCGCAAAACAACTTACCCTATAAGTATGACGATCCAATCCGCGGACCAGCCGCAGCTCTTCGTATAATTTTTCTGGATGGTCGCAAATGTTGGTCATCTGGAGAAATTAGGGTATAAGTTAGAAAATCGACTAAATCAGCGTTGGAAAAAAAAGGGGAATTTGAATACAGCACTGTTTAGGTAGTGGATTATTTTTTACTATTGCGTTCTCTCTTTATCGCTTTATCTCTCTCCGTCTCTCTCTCGCACTCTCTTTATCTCTCTCTCCCACTCTCACACCCTCTCTCATTATCTATCTCCCACTCTCTCTCTCTCTTCAACCAGCAGAATCAACACCACATGTAATCACAGATCCGGCCGTTGTGCCGGTGTAAATATCCAGAATCCAATTAGCAATGAGGTGCCGTCCCCACAGCTTCCAAATGCCCCCCCCCACCCCTCCGGACGTCCACACGAAATTCCCGGGTTGTTTTTTGGCGGGTTTCAGGGGGTGTGGGGAATGATTCGGGGCGGAACGGCCGCGCCCTGAATTCTGGACACTCGCACATCAATCTGAGAAGAAGACTGATCGAAGGGAGGAAGGGACGGGAGACACCTATGGACGGAATGCCGGAAAGGGAAAGGGGGGAACGGATGAAATATAGCCACGGGGTATGCATGGGAGGCCCAATCTGATCTATCTGTGGCCCTCCAGGTGGGTTCGGAGGAGTTGGGCCATGGGAGTCGAGGAAATTGGGACTTGGGGTGTAATGTTCAGAAGTTACAAGGACTCCGCTTCCAAAATTTCTTAAATGTTGAGGAGAGAGGGGGAGAGTGAGTGAGAGAGTGAGTGAGAGAGAGAGAGCGGGAGAGCGAAAGAGAGCGAGAGAGGTATAGACTGGGGAGAGAGAGAGCACGAGAACGGAAAAATAAAGACAGGGACACAGCTATAGAGAGATGATATTAAAAGAGAGAGAGAGAGCGCGTTAGAGTGAGAGAGTGAGTGAGAGAGCATGTGAGAAAGACTGAGATAAAAAAATTGTGATATAGGGTGCAAAAGTAATCCAAGAACTGAAGAAGTATATGTTGTACTCTGCTCCGTGTTATTTCTCTCCCGTTCTCTGTCTCTCTCTCTCTCTCTCTCTCTCTCTCTCTCTCTCCCATCTCCTATTCTGAGTAGGCCAATGTTTTGAGCTGTTTGCTAGCATATTAATGTATTTGGCCACGGCCCCCCAGATCCCCTAAGGGCCCAAAAAACATGCTAACGCCAGTGTGGGGGCCCACAGGGTTTGGCGCGTAACCAGACCTAACTTTGCAGGTTTGAAATTATCAATGCCAAATAAAAATTGAATGCAGTATAAAAGCCAAGTACTGAACGAACTTTTCCGGAAATTTGGGTGAAAGCCGGTGAAGGGCGGGGAGAAAATACTTGAGCCGTTTTTGGGGGATGGCCAAGGGGTAAACATGACATAACAAGACTAAGCGCCCGGGATTTGGGTTTGGAAAAGCCAAAAAGGGCGAGGTATTAGCGTGCAATGACCACCGTAGGGGGTAGAAAACGGGTGAGTGAGTCATCGCTGAAAAGTTGTAGAAAATTCTGGAGAATTTGCAGCCGAAATTGATGCTCTCTTTCTCTCGCTCACTCTCGCTCTCTGTCTGTCTCCCCCTCTCCTCGCTCACTCCCATTTATCTCGCTCTAGCTCTATGTCGCGTTCGCTTTCTCTTACCCTCACTCTCACTCACTTGCTCTCTCTCTGTCTCTCTCTAGCTCTCTCTCTCTCTCTCTCGCTGCTCTCTCTCTCCAACTAGCTCACTCTTTCTCTCCCCTCTCTCTCTCTCTCTCTCGCTCTCTCTTTCTGACGGTCATAAAAGGAGTGGGTCAAAAAAATTGGACATAAAAAATACACAAACAAAATGGCAGGTGAGCTTTGAAAGCCGCTTTAAAAAATACACAATAGCCAAAAAGTACAGTTTTAGCTCAAGATATAAATTAATAGTACTATACAAAACCAATCCCTGGCCCCTTGCCAACCCATGTAAAAAGATCCGGGGCAACAAAATAAAGCTCCCCCATCCTCCCCCCGCCTGACCCAACGTCTAATTGGCACGGCCAAGATCCAATTTTTCAGATGTCGCTGCAAGGGGGGGAGTGTGCCCATAGGGGTCTCCCGAAATAGTAAGCCCTTGTTTTTGGGCCCGCTGACCTCTTAGCCACCTTTTAGCCGCCTCAACGTCTAGAGAACGGGGGGTCCAAAATATTTGGATGTTGCCTGGCGGTGGTACGGTAGTTGCAAATGTGTCCTCGTGGGGACTGGGGAGCCATTTATGCATGGGCCCCAACGAGGCGATGATGCGCCGACGGGAAAACACGCACAGAACTCGTGCACTCTAGAGCATCGACTTATAGTCTCCCAAAATGCATGCGGAAATCGTAAAAGTTGAAATTCGTGTACTTGAAACTGTGGGGAGGGAGAAACCAAAAGATGGAGAGAGAGCGCGTGTAAGAGAACGAGAGAAAGAGAGAGAGAGAGAGAGAGAGAGCTAGCGAGAGAGCGCTGAGAAAGCGAACGAGAAAGAGAGAGAGAGTGTGTGCGAGAAAGAGAGCTAGAAAAAGATGGAGGGAGGGAGTGAGTTAGAGAGAAGATGTGAATAGTTTTTGAGATTTGGAAGCATAAAATCCTTTAGTCTGGCTTTACTAAAAGCCGCGTCTACCTAGCGTGTGCCGCTTTCGAGCTGATTTGCATATTCCGCTGCGTAGGAATAAAATATGAATTTGTGGAAACGCCACGCGCTCGAATCTAGCTATCACTCTCTCTCTCACTCTCTGTCTGTCTCTCTCTCCCTCTCCCTCCCTCTCTTTCTCTCTCTTGCTCTTTTTCTCTCTCTCTCTAGCTAGTTGTTCTTTCCTGTTATTTGCATACCAAATCATACTTGAAATTTAGCGCATAACCCCCTCAAAAATCGAAGATTTCCTCATTTTTTAGAGGGCAGCATGCAGCTGAGTTGGGTGGGATTTGAAGGACTTGAAGCCGTACTCGCATAATTGCTAAAGTTATCCATTGACCCCGTAAATTCAGAATGCCGACCGCGTGCCCGAGCACTACGACTCGGACGCGCTGATTCCGGGACTCTGCGTGGTCATCTACATCCCGTTGATGCTCTACGTGCTCGTCGTCTACCATCGGCTACTGCAGAGTGCGTAAGGATACGTTAAGGCACTGGCAGGGCGAAGGAATACTACGCTACGCTCCAAATGCCGCGGTTTTAGGGTTGGAGGCGGTTCGCTCGGGGTGGCCGCAGTACGAGGCGGCGCTGTGGGCGGACGATGAACGGGCTGCCGGCATGGATCCACAGGCTGGGTACGGTGGGGAGAGAGCGAGAGAGAGAGTGAGCGGGAGAGACAGCGAGAGAGAGAGAGCAAGAGAGAGAGAGAGCGATAGAGAGAGTGAGAGAGAAGGAAAGAGAGAGAAATTTTCTAGGGAGGACCACGATCTACCGGTGGAAGCGACGTCCACCCGGCGAGGCTGGCTGAGCCGCGAGGGACACCTTCGAAGGAATATACCCGATGTGTGAATCGATTAACAATAGAGGAATAAAGATTCTGGAAATGTTTCCCTGCATGAAAAGACTAAAGTTGAGCCGGCAATTACCGACCACGGAAATCAAAGAAACGCTGCAGGGACCGCGGCTTGGCATTTGCCTAATTGGATGGAAGGGGGTCATGGGGGGAGTTGCATGTCGAATTATTATCTCGAAAAAGAGAAATTGAAGGTAAGAGAGAGAGAGGGAGGGAGAGAGAGCGAGAGAACGAGCTCTGGTCATCAACCTCGAAATGGCCGTTTCGAGGGTCGGCTCTTCAGGCGCGGGGCTGGACCTCCATTTTGGGGAACACCATTAAACCCCAGGAACGGGCCGGCATTTCCTGGTGCCGAGGGGGAGATCGGGATGTACATTTGAAGGTACGGAAGTGACGCACGGGGCTACGTTAGGTCAAGCTCTCTCCCTCTCTCTCCCTCACTCTCCCTCATTCCATGGTTTTCAATTACGTATCTGAGCACCGAAATCAAAATGCATTTGAAATAGGCCAGATAAGCCAAGGACCAGTTGAAAAACAATGTTTGAAAAGCCTAAAAATTCCTCGAATCGACCCCTACCTAGTAGCCCCATTTGAAATGAATGCTGTTGGTGGGCGACCAAGGGAGTTAAGGGGTGGTTGGGTAGAGAAATTGGGCTTCTTCTTGTCAGTCCATCCATTCCAGCCTTTAATTGCCGAGAAATGTCAGGATGCGGATAGAAAGATCGTGGATCGGGGCGCCTGGACTGGGCCTTTAAAGGGGGGGGGGGGGGGTGCCCTTTCCCCCCTTCCCCCCTTTGGGGGCGGGGGGGCCGCGCGCGCCCCCCCCGCCTGCTCTGGCTCGGCCTTCCCCTTTTTTTTTTGGGGGGGGGGGCCCCCCCCCTCGTTGGGGTTGGGGGTGGGGGTGGGTTTGTTTCCCCCCCCCCCCGGGGGGGGGGGCGGTTTCCTCTCCGCCGCGGAAAAAATCTTTTCTTTTTTTTTTAAAACCTTCTTACCTTTAAGAGAGGGTGACAGCAAGATTTAGAAATTTCTGTTGCGGGTGCCCTGATAGGGTTGGGGAAGGAGGGATTTCTGGTGTCGCTATTCTCTTTACTGTCGGCGAGAGAGCGAAAGAGCGAGAGAAAGAAAGAGAGAGAGAGAGCCGAGCGAGTACGAGAGTTGGAATGAAAGACATAGAAAGAGAAAAGACTGGTGCCAGCGAGAAAGACAAAAAGTTATAGAGAGAGCGAGAGAGACGGCGTGAGAGAGAAACAGAGAGAGAGAGAGAGCGAAACAGAGAGAGAGAGAGAGAGCCACAGAGAGAAAGAGAGTAGGTGAATCCCCTCATGGTCACTGGGCTATTCTTACCGGGCAACATTTATAAGCCGTATTACGACAATTTTTAGCAAACACCCAGCAGCTGTAAATATTTTTGTTCGTACGTATTCAGTTCGCTGGGGCGCGCGATACCTGCTAAAATGAAAGTCTTAAAAACGTATTTAGATCTATGTGTAATCATCTTAGCATCATAGTTTACCTCAGACTACGGTAGCCGGGGTGCGAAAACATGAGTAAAATACACTTAATAGGGCCAAAAGCCATACACGTCCATCGCCCAGATCATCTGTCGGGGGTTAGAGAGCCAAGACCCATCTAATTGGCGCACGGCCAACACGCCTCCACAGGAAACGCGTGTCTTTTGGTGTGTAAAGTACGCATCGATACCTCTTCAAATAACAGCGGCATTTTCTAATCGACCAAAAATAGAAATAACATGAATACAGATAATTATGCGGAACTCAGTGGCCTTGAGGTGTGGAAAACAAGGCTAGGTGACCGTCAATTAAACTGGTTTTCTTACTTACTTAGGATCTGGCGTCGGGCTAGCAGGGATTCTTCGGGAAATCGATACGAGCAGGCTAGCGGGGAGCCTTTGGGAAAGAAGTTAGAGCAGTCCAGAAAGGATCGTTTGGACAAGTCGGCCAGGCAAGCTAGCAGAGATTCTTGGGGAATCCAGAAGGCTGCTCGTAAATAGGCCAAAAATATTGACAGTATTTCTTGAAATCAGCGAAAATTCACGATTTTTTAGTAAGGCCTAATTAGTTCTGCTATTCAAGTAGAAATGGGGAAGAGATGAGAGATAATAGAGAGAGAGCGAGGGGGAGAGGGGGAGAGAGCGAGAGAAAGAGAGAGAGAGAGAGGGAGAGAAAGAGAGTGCGAGAAAGAGAGAGAGAGAGACAGAGTGCCAGAGAGAGATAGGGACAGTGAGAGAGAGTGAATCTCGAATAAAGAGCATGAAAAGATAGACAAGAAGTGGAAAGGCCATTAAATGGCAACACCAGAATAATAGGGCAAAATGGCGACGCGTGGCTGGGGGATTAATTGGAAGGGAAATACGGTGGATGCAGAGAATATTTGGGATTTTTAGATTGATGGGCAAGGGCAACCCTTAAGAAAACCTTTTGGGAAATGAAGAAATTCAGGATTTGGAGGGCTAGTTGGGATTATTGAGGAAATTTAGGCATTTCAGACATTTTTTTAGAGAAAAGAAAGAAATAGATTGAAAATGCTAGGCTTATTGACTTAGCTTTTGGGCGTGGCTCACATGTAGAGGTTGTGAGGTCACAGACTCCAAATCAGCTCAAAATTGGTGGAAAAATCAAATAAAATACGGGGAAAACCATGTGATAAAAATTATCTGCCAATGGGCACTTTTGTTTAATAAACTTTTAATTTTAATGGAAAAAAGTGCTCCTAAAATGCACTTTTAGCCGCTTTATCGGGCCTTACGGCTTGGAAAAAGTGTTTTGATGGAATTTTCATAGCAGCCATGACACTAAACACCTTTCCACACCCGAAAAAAATTGATTTGAAAAAACTTTTTTCATGAAAAATTTGACGACCTATCCTATGGCCCCGGATCCTGGCAGAATTGGAAACTGCTTAAAATAGGTGGTTCTGGCTCCTAGGCGCTTCAAATCTGAGCACCGAGATATTTCAGATTGCCGGAATAATTCTATTTTTACAATTCTGGTTCAAAAATAATTATTATTAACTATTCAGTTGGTTTTCATCGAGCCGGAATAGCTAGGTAGACCTTCTTTACAAAAACTTCCAAATTTTCGAAATTTGTTTTTCTGCATAGGCAACTTCTAGGCATTCATAGGACCGAAAAACTTTCGAAAACACTTTGTAGACCCTCTCTCGGCAAAAAAAAAGCGAAAACAACAAAAAGCAAAAATTAAAAACATTGACGGGGTCCGAACCCTCGACCCCTGGCCTGTCACCCCTGCACCTTACCACTATACAACCAATCCGACGGGAGGTGGCTCTTGGGAAGCCTTCAAGAGGGCTCCTCTGCCCCTAACGGTTTTCGCGCCCCAGGTCGCGATTCTAGGTAGTTTTCCATACAAAATCTTAAAATTAAAAGTTTATTAAACAAAAGTGCCCATTGGCAGCTAATTTTTATCACATCGTGTTCCCCGTATTTGATTTGATTTTTCCACCAATTTTGAGCTGTTTTGGACTCTGTGACCCCCCAACCTCTCCATGTCAGGCTTAGGCTTATTAGGCTTAGACTTAGGCCTAGGTTAGACCTAAGGTCCTACCTTTAGGAACAGAAGCTTGAAATTAAGCCAGGTAAGCTATCAAATTCTTTGGGGAATCTAAATCACAACTTTTTTCGATTGTAGTGATTTGGGAAAATCGGCGGCACCCATAGAATCTCGGGGGGCTAGGTGAAACATGTGGCTTCCCAGGTGTTCCCCCGGGAAATGCCAGCATATCTTTTGGTGGCTTCCCCCCACCTACCTTAGAATAGCCTCGAAAAGGGCACCCATTCTTAGGGATTTCGAGCAGAAAGGGGCACAACGGCTAATTTTAGCAGGGATTTTTCAGAATGCCGAAATTCATTATGTCGATGTCGAAATTCAGAATGTCGAAATTGCAACGTGTCGAAATTCAAAGTCCTTAGGCTGAAAATCCGTCACAAATAACCTCCCCTAGTTCTCCAGAAAAAAATGGAAACACCTACAAGAATCTGGAAGACCCGAAACCGCCGCAATTCTCATTCCCGCGCCATCCATCACAAAATGGACCCAAAAATGCCCCCAGGCACCCAGGAGAAACCCCAATTTTGCATAAGAAACACCCCGTGGGCAGGGGGAGAATCCGATTTTTTGCCTAAAAACGGCTCCCCGGAACGGCCCTTTTCTTTGGCGTTCATCCGTTTACCGCCAGCTCGCCCGGTTCCGCTCGAAGCCAGCAATTTTTGGGCGTTTTTAGGCGCCCACGCCAAGTCTGTTTTTGGCGAGAAAATGGAAAGAAAATCACGATTAGGTGCGAGCCTCAGTATCGCTTAAACCAGGTTGGGACCGACCCTAAACGTAAGCCGAATCCGAAGCCGAAGCCAAAACCAAAGCCAAAGACTAAGCCTAAGCACAACCTAGGCCTAAGTCTAAGTGTAAGCCTAAGCACAACCTAAGTCTAAGTGTAAGCCTAAGCACAACCTAAGTCTAACCTAACTAGGGAAGTGCAAATAAAAAATCCGGAAAATCGCTTAGCAAAAATATGGGTCTGATAAGTCGACACAGGTTCGAAACTGCAATCAAATTTGCAAAACGCTTAATACAAAAAAGTTATGAGCATTTTAAGTTTTCAGCCTTTTATTCCGCCCTCCCTTATGAGCCCCTCCCAAAGACGGGTGTCCGCATGTCGAGTGGTGTGGTCGCTAACTAGCCTGCCCCTGGGGCGGAGGGTCTTTGGTTCGGCTCCCCGGTGATGCAAAATTTTTTGCTTTTTGGTCAAAGTCAAGAACTTTGGACTTTTTCAAAGTTTCGAAGTCCGAAATTTAAATTTTTGAACATTTTCTTTATTATTGACTGCGTGTAGGCTACCTTACGAAAAAACAGAGGTGAATTTTTTTAGTGCCCTACCCTACTCCAGTACGGGGAGTACGGGTAGGGCAGCACTTGCCTCCGCCCCACTTCGTAATCGGTTTCATGAATTTAAAAATTAACAGAACGGCCTTTTCGACTTTGAAACTTTGAAAAAGTCTAAAGTTCTTGACTTTGACCAAAAAGCAAAAAGTTTTGCATGACCGGGGAGTCGAACCGGAGACCCTCCGCCCCAGAGGCAGGCTAGTTAGCCACTACACCACTCGACATGCGGACACCCGTCTTTGGGAGGGGCTCATAAGGGAGGGCGGAATAAAAGGCTGAAAACTTAAAATGCTCTACTTTTGTATTAAGCGTTTTGCAAATTCTGATTGCATTTCGGAATCCCCGTCTCGACTTGCCCATATTTTTGCTAAGCGTTTTCCGGTTTTTTATTTGCACTTCCTAGTAAGCCTAAGTCCAAACTAAGCATAAGCCTAAGCCTGGGCCCACGCTTATACGGAGCCTAAGCCTGACTCTAAGTCTAAGCCTGGATCTAAGCCTAAGCCTAAGCCCAAGCCTGAACCCAAGCCAAAGCCAAGTCATTTGGCTGCTGACCAGGCTTGGAACAACAAGGCGATTCTCGGGATTGGGTAGTATCACGCGCGCACATGTATCTATTATTTTTCGAGTGGAGTAGACAGCTGGGAGGGCGGTGGCGGATGGTGGATTTGGCATTTCTGAGGGAACAATCGAGTTGAAAGCTCAATGACCAAAGATTTTGAGAAGGCAGGCTATCTAGCAGCGATTGTTATGCAAACCAGCAGAAAACCCATTAATGTGACTTGTTCTGAACAGGTAGGAAACTAGCTGATGCTATCAACCCTCCGCATCTCGACGTACCTTCTCTTACAGGACTTTAAAGTATAAAAAAATGTTTGTCTCGGGCTGGAGAACCAGAAAAAAATATCATGGATTTATGAGGATGCGCAAAAACACAGCGAAAATCGTATTAGCGGTTTAATTTTTGCATTTAGCGAGCTGGAAAATTCTGAGAATCCGTTAAAGGATGTCTATCTTTCCTTCCAATCTAAATAACACACTTTCTTTATCTCCCTCTCTCTCACTCACTCTCACTCTCTCTCGCCCTCTCTCTCTCTCTCTCTTGCTCTTTCTCGCTCGCTCTCCCTCCTACCTCTCTTGCTCTTTCTCTCTCTCTCGCGTTCTCTCTTGCTCTTTCTCTCTCTCGCTCTCTCTCGCTCTCTCTGCCTCTTTCCCAATAAAAAAACATTGTCCCTGAGAATTTTAGAGAACTAATCAAATATTTTGAGCTTAGGCCTAGGCTTAGGATTAGGCTTAGGCCTAGACTTACAGGCACACTAAAATCTCGTACAAAAAGTCAGTTCCCGGTCGGGAATCCGGGCATAAGAAGCGTCCGATCCCCGGACCCTTTTTATCCCCCTTCCCTCTGCCCTGTCCCGCCTGTCCCTTGGCCCAGTGGTCTAAAGCGCTCGCCCCAGGCGAGTGGGGCGGGTTCGGTTTTGCTCCGCGGCGAGCGCCTACCGTAACCCTGTTTGCTATCCCGCGGACGGTTACCGGCCAGTAACCAAACCAACGAGACTTTGGTGTACCTTTAAACGCTAAGGCTTAGGCAGAAAGAGCATTCCAAACTACAATATCCGGATCAAAAAATGGGCCAACCACCTTGGAGAGTGGCAAAAGTCGTGGGCGAATACATCCTCCCCTTGCCCATTTAAAGGTGCAGTCGACCGTAATTCCGCCCCATGACTTTTGCCCATTTTTTAGCGAGGCGGGAAATGTTGGCGGGGATTTTTGAGAGAGCTTCATGTGGTGGTCATGGTCTACTTGCCCGAGTTATATTGTTCTTTTCATCGTCACCCCTAATGGGTTTGGTATTGAGGGGTAGTCGAGGGGAATCAAAAGCCGGGGGCTTTTAGCAGAGGGATTTTCAGAGCCACTAGCAAATCCAACTTGGGGATCTTGGAAGGAGACGATATTAGGTTTGCACGGACGATACCCAGCTTGGTTTCAGCAGAATTTTCTACTGATCAACACAAGGTTTTTATCCACGAAACGAGGTTTTTCAGCGTCAAAAACACCCAAAATGGCCCAATTCAGACCGCTGTTGCGCATCCATAAGTTTTTAAGCTGGTCGTCGCGTAGATTCGGAAAATGCGTTTTTATCGGTGCAAAATTTAGCGCAAGATTGACATGGTCCTTTTCCAGGGCTCTACAAAACGAGCTCTTCTCTAGGGGTAAATCGGCAAAAATGCTCAAACTATGGATTTGGAAGACGTTTATTCAGTGTTGGCATTGAAGCATGGTCGCAGCTGCCATTAAATCATCCGGAATAACCTTGATCAATGGTGTCGGAATAAATGGTGTGGAGCGGAAAAGCCGAGGAGAGTCAAAATACCGACAGCCAGGGTATTCGGTGAGGAATTTTTTTAGATGGTTATGGATTCAGGCGAATCTACCCTCCCGGGACTCGGTCTACTCCCCACAAATAGTTGGCACCGTGTCGAGGGTTTGGCTGTCCGGATATGGTTGTCGGCATTCCGGCCCGTCGGGATTTTGGGTTCCAACCTGCCGGGACTTCGGTCTGTCGGGCTTTTGGTTTCTCGCCTGTCGGGATTTCGGACGCCGATATTTTGGACGTCGAAATTCAATCTTAATCGCTACATCTCGTAAATACCGACAAGACTGGGAATTTTCAATATTTCGAGTTTTAGAATCACTAGTTATTTGACTTTCCAGGGCCTTTAAAGTCCACGGCCATTGTATCCTCCTGGGGTATTAGCATGGCCCTTCCCTCGGGTTGGCCATCTGCCGCTTCCGTCCATAACCGGCCATGCCATGTCGTTCCCTCTCTCTCTCTCTCTCTCTCTCTCTCTCTCTCTCTCTCTCTCTCTCTCTCTCTCGCTACCCTCTCTGCCCTCTCCACCCTCTCGTGTGTCCCTCCCCCTATATGGGCCCTCTCCTCTCCGGGTGCCACCGAGAATTCTCACGTTTTATTCTCCTCCTCCTCTTCTTTCACCATGCTCGCCTCCACCCCACTCCACTTCATCACAAAACATTGCGCTGCCTAGCGCTGTGCCAAGTTTTTTTGCTTTTTTTGAAGCCAGGATGTTCAAATTATTTTTAAAATGCTTTTATATAATTCGTTACCGTTCCTAAAAACCTCTGCTAGGTTGCCATCTTTTCTTAAAAATATTTATTAGCTTTCTAGGGTCAATAAACCCGAATTATAATCCTAATTTAATTTGCGGCGTAATTCTTCCTATTAAGCTGTAAAAATCGGGATTTAAAGTAATTGCAACATTGACGCATTGCATGGGTTTTTGCCGAAGCTTTCCTGGATTCATATTTAGACAATTTCCGGATTTCCGGCAGTGTCATTCTTCATTTTCGTTCCCTCTCTATCGCTCTCTCTCTCGCGCTCTCTTTCTCTCTCACTCTCGCTCTCTCTCTTCTCGGCTTATTCACCCAATTCCAGCCATAACTTGGCTATTTTCCCCCTTTTTTCCTCACAAAAAATCCCTTGTCCTCCTGCTCCCCTCCATTGTCTGCCCGCCAATAAAATACCGCCAATTTCCGTGGTGTCTAGAATGCTATTTTTTTTGCGTGAAAGTGCATATGTTGGCCTTGACGGGACACATGAACTGCGCCGAAAGAGTTTGGTCAAACAGCCAGAGTCCCCCGATCGAATTCACTTCCAATTCGCTCCTATCGACGTGTCGTGAAAAATGCGGAATTTATGGGGTCGAGAATCTAGAAAGAATAGAAATTTATTCGGATGGGAATCTTCTATCGAAAAAATCTGGAAACGGAGAGCGAGAGAGAGCGAGAGAGAGAGAGGGAGAGAGAGCGTTGAAGGGAGAGATAGTTGAAGGGAGAGAGAGAGAGAGTTGAAGGGAGAGAAAGAAAGCGAGAGAGACCGGAAGAAAGAGAGACCGGAAGAGAAAGAGCCCGAGAGAGAAAGAATTAAATGGTCGGAACCTAGGATTTTCAGCCTTACACTCTAGAAATTCAAAATTCCAAAAATTCGGCCTATTTCTTCTTTAAAACCTTTAAAATTTAATTTAAATTTTAAATTCAAGCTGAACAAATGTTCTTCGATCTCTGGGCCCACGCCTGGAAAATAACCTTGGCAGGAAAGTTTTAACACATCCAGGCGGTGGTGGCCGTTAAAAAGGGAGGGGTGGGGCGGCTGTTTGTGTGACATGTTGTTGTCTCTGTTTCTCTCTCGCTCTTTCTCTCGCTCTCTCTGTCTCTCTCCTCTCCATTCCCCTTTTTTCAATCCGTCCCTCAAAAATCCGGGGGATTGCCCTTGGGCCCGCAGTTCCGGCTCGATTCCCCGGACGTTCCGCGGCACTCCAACTTACGCTCAAATGGATACTGTAGATTCGGAGGATCCGTCATTATTTGATGGGGCGATGCTGCAGCAGCGGGTTCAATCCCTTCTCAACGAGGGCCTGCAGCAGGGCCATCGGCTGGCATTATCGTCGGATTTGTGGAGGTGGGAATGGGATTTCTGTTTTGTAAATAAATTTGATACATTTTTATTAAAATTCTCTACATTATAACCATCGTAATTAAATGTAGGTTACTTATAGAAATGCTTAAAATTTGATGAAATATTTTTGCAGTAATTTTTGGTGAGATTTACACTTTTTCAGATACGCCAGTGAATGTTCCTCGGCATGTGACGTTCTTTTGACCCTGAGCCATCAAGATGATGACGAATCGATGAAAGAGACGGTGCACTGGATCGTCAATACGGTAATCTAGACCCCGGAATTCCGTATCTTTCCAAGTTACGCCACCTGGAGCCGGCGTTGGTCGTCGAGGTCCGCTACCATCGTCTGAATGATTGCTATGGGCTGTATTTGACGGCGGAGTATAGGGATTTGTTAAAGGTAGGAGAGAGAGATAGAAAGCGAGGGAGTGAGAGGGAGAGAGAGCGAGCGAGAGAGTGCGAGTGAGAGAGAGCAAGAGAAAGCGAGACAGAGAAATACAGAGAGAGAGAGAGAGAACGAGAGAGAGAGCGAGAGAGTGAGGAAGATCGAGATTGAGGGAGTGAGAGAGAGCGAGAGAAGCACAGAGAATAAGAATCACCCACATTTTAGGGCGCCGAACTCTGCCACCTGAAGAAGCCGCTAAAGCTAAAGTTTGGCGGCGGCATGCGAGACTTTTGCTTTGACGAAGCGCACTGTTTTGTGGGGGTAGAGGTGAGAGTTTTGCTCTAAACTTGCTCATACCATGAAATTCATTAAATTCAATTTCAGCACAAAGCCCATTTCTTATCCGGCACCGAGCGAGCATTAATCGTGAAGCAGATCCTGGAAAGTGTCCGAATACCTCGGGGCGGTTTGGTATTGTCAACGAGGAGCCGCAAGGTGGAGCTGCCCGGCTCTGCGCCGTTGGGTGGGGAATTCAAGCGGTACTGAAGTCAGATTCAGTTGGGCAACTCTCGGCTGCGGGGCTGGTTGACCGAAGTCTTCCGCTTCATAACAAGGAGGAGCTTCGAAATCTGCAGAAGGGATGGGTGATGTCACTCGTTGATCGGCAGCCGTTGGATGCGATTAAGGCAAGTAGAAAGGAATTACGCAAGCTTAGGCTTCATACAAAGATAAAACTAAGCCTAAGTCTCTTAAAGGAAACCTAAGCCTAAACCTAAGCTTAAGCCTGTCCTAAGCTTAATCTAAGCCTATGCCTGAGCATAAACCTAACCTAAGCCTAGGTCTTAGCCTAAGCCAAGCCTAAGCCTAAGCCGAGCCTGAGCCTAGGCATAAGCCTGAGCCTAGGCATAAGCCTGAGCCTAAGCCTAAGTCTATGCCTAAGCCTAACCTAACCCTCAACCAACCGCCGATTTAGAACTATTTCGGCACCGAAATCGCGATGTACTTCTCCTGGCTGGGCTTCCTAACAACGGCCCTCTGGTTCCCAGCCGGCATCGGACTTGCCATGTTCTTTTTTGGCGGCGGCGTATATCGAATCCAACAAGGAGAACCGGAAGAAAATGACGAAGAAGACACCTATCAGGTAATTTACCGATTTTTTGAACATACAAATCCATTTAAGCTGTTCAGCGACATTTGCTTCGTCTTGTTCGCCTTCTTCAATTGCATCTGGTCCACCGTATACCTTGAATTGTGGAAGCGGAAGCAGGTGTGGATCGGAGTACACGGTGATACGCTTTGGTTTAGGCGGAATTGGCGTTCAAGTGGGGAACGTATACGGTGGAGGCGAATGCCTTGCTGCAAGACCCGAGACCGGGGTTTAAGGTACGTACAATCGGCCGCAAATTTTTGGGTTTATTGAGGGCTTTGAACTCAGGAACGTAGCGGAAAACCCGAAATCGGAGTCTATACTTAAGCCAAAGCCCAAGCTAAGCCTGCTTGAAATTTCAGGGCGAATACACAGCTCCAAACGCGGTCACCGGGCTCCCCGAACCCCAGTATCCGGCTTGGAAAAGTGCGGCAGTGCGGTACTGTCTCACCTATCCGGTCACCGGTCTCTGCGTTCTCGTCATGTTCGCGGCAATGCTTGGGATATTTATGGCACAGGATACGGCAAATTTGTAAGTGTTCCTCTCTCTCCTCTCTCTTCTCTCTCTCTCTCTCTCTCTCTCCGTCGATATCAAACTTTTCCAGCTACTTTGGCCATTCTTCCTTCTTCGGTTGGGTTTGCTATCTCCCCATGGTCGTCTACGCCCTTCTCGTCGTCGCCAGCGAGAAGCTCTACCGACTCTTGGCCCTCTTCCTCAACGATCTCGGCAAGTTTGCCCTCAGATCTCTAGAATATCCAGTCATCTTTCAGAAAACTACCGTACCGCCGAGGAGTACGAGAATTTCCTCGTCTCCAAGATTGTCATTTTTCAATTCGTCACGGCCTTTGGGTCGCTGTTCTATACGGCGTTTATCATCAGGGATATGAGGAGACTGCAGGAGGTATCCAAAAAAAATAGTAAACGATTTTATGGTATTTTTAGACCCTGGCAACGCTGCTGATCACCCGCCAGCTCACGCAGAATATTATGGAAATGGCGGTGCCGTTTGTCATCGAGAAGTTCAAGTTTTCGCAGCTGACTTATAAGTAGGCCTCTCTTTCCCCTCTTCTCTCGCTCTCTCTTTCTCGCACTCTCCCGCTCTCTCTCCCGCTCTCTCTCTTTCTCTCTCTATCTCGCTCTCTCTCTCTTTCTCTCTCTCCAGTATCACGCATTTTTAGGATGACCCGCTCAATGAGTGACGACACGCTCCGCCGACATGTTCAACAAGTTCGGCGAAAGCGAAAGGAGAGCGATGATGCCCCATCTAACTCATCGGTAGCCTTTAAGTAGACCGATTTTAACCTAGCCTTTTTCAGCCCCTAACCCCCAACGACTTGCACGAGACGTTCGAGGTGCGCCGGCGGAAAATGGCGCGCGAGCAATCCCCAAGCGAAGAGGAGGAGCTGGACGTTGATAGTAGCAGCCCGTACTCACAATTGGTAATTGCTTAATTACTTTTAATTTCTTAAATTCTAGAATGGAACATCGCCAAAAATTGGTCGTTCTCCCAGGCTGCCGCTTCCGGAATTCGTTCCCTACGCTGATGGTAGGCCATTCCAAAATTCCTAAAAGATTTTTGCTAGCTTGCCCACCTCTTTGTAAATATTAAAATTTTAAAACGCTCAAATCTTGTGTTTTAAAAATATTATAAACTTTTTTAAGGAGTCGAAGTCACTCAAGCCGAGCTGGAGAGCCTGATGAGCGTCTACGAGCGCCCGCTTGACGACTATTTGGAGATGTTTATTCAGGTATTCTCACGATTTTTAGACGCTTTTTGATGAGTGTAGTACGATGTATACCTTTTACGTCTAATGGCCCCTGATTTTGCAGTTCGGCTACGTTCTCCTATTTTCGCCGGCTTTCCCCCTGGCTGCAGCGTGTGCCCTCCTCAACAATTTGATCGAAATCCGGGTCGACGCGTTTAAGGTATATTTTTCTACGATTGGCATAAAAGTAAAGAATGTCGATAATTATAATGTCGAAATTTTAGCTTCCCGGAATTCCAGAAAGCCAAAATTTCAATATGTCGACATTTTTTGGGTTTCGTTTTTTGGGTTTTTTTCCAAGAGATTCGCTTAAAGGTACACTAAAATCTTCAAAAAACCGCGTCGCCGTCGTGAATTTTCTCCCTTCGCCGCGTCTTGGCCCGACCCTTCATAGCCCTTCGCCCCCTTCCTTCTCTCGTCTCTCCCATGGCCTAGTGGTCCAAAGCGCTTGCCGTAGGCGAACGGCCCGGGTTCGGTTTTGCTCCGCGGCGAGCGCCTACCGTAACCCTGTTTGCTATCCCGCGGACGGTTACCGGCCGGTAACCAAACCAACGAGACTTTAGTGTACCTTTAAGTAAAGTTCGAGATTATGGTTTTTCAAATTTGGAAAGCATTAATCTATAAGTAAAAGTTCCAAAATTTTCTGTGTTTTTTTAAATCGTTGAAAATCCCGAATTTCAGCTATGCAACACGGTGCAACGGCCGTTTGGGCGTCGCGTGAAGGATATCGGGGCCTGGCAACATTCCATGCAGGTATTTCGCCGTTTCCACTAAGGCAGACGACTTTAAATAATTTGATAGCCACTTAATAAGCCCCCTTTTTAGTGGCTCGGGACGCTGGGGGTGATGGTCAACTGCGCGCTGATAGGCCAATCCGGCCTTGTTCAGCGAATATGGCCCGGTATCAGCTGGGCTTCGCAGGTTTGCCTTAAGATCCGTTACAATGCAATTTATAATTATTTCCACTTTTTCTAAATTTTCTACGTCTTTTTTATGTGCGCTATAGCGCGCCCTTTTCGCCTTTTCAATCACCCGCCCCGTACGGCCCCTCCACAACCTCGCGCTCTCTCTTCCCTGCCCGGGCCCCGCCCCCACTCCCTCTCCTAGCCCGCACCCAACCCCTCCCACAGAGCGTCGGTGGTTCAGTGGTAGAATGCTCGCCTGCCACGCGGGCGACCCGGGTTCGATTCCCGGCCGACGCAATTCTTTTTGCTTTTTGGCAGGGTTTTAGCGATTGGCTTCCAGATTGTGCTGATCGTCATTTTGGAGCACGTGATCCTCGGGATTCGGGCTCTAGTGGATTCTGCCGTCCCTGACGTACCGGAGTGGATCCGGGTGGAGATTGCCAAGCAGGAGCACTACCGAACAGAGGCATTTAAGGTACTCGGAAGCGTTACTTGAAAAATTTCTAGCTGTTTCAGAGGAGCAGCCGTTTGATCGACCGATTAGAGAGGCCAGAGTTGGCACAGACACCTCCAATAGACCCCGTAGGTCTTTAGAAAAATAAGCGAAAATGATGAAGATTTTTAGCCTACCAATTTGCAATTTGCCCCCGCTTTTAGGTGGTAATTCCTCGGCTCGAGGGGCTCGTGGAAGTAGCGGATAAATGCCCATCCCCGACCCACCGGCCTTCCGAGGCATCGGCGAGCCATATGGAGCCCCGGCCGGTCGCCGCGGGACCCGTTAGTTTTGTTTATTTGACTTTGGCCATGTGTGAGAAATCTCCCGACCAAAATATACGAGCAACCTGGTTTTAGCTGAATTTTAACGTTGTTCCAGTTGGACTGCGTCTTTCAGCCGTGGACCCGGATTATAAGGTTCAAACCAAAGGATAGAACTTCGAAAAATTTATGGGTTTTTGGGAGCTTGGATTGGTTTTTTGCCGGCTTTTCTGGGTGTTGCTACGCTATTTTTTTTAAAAGAAAACTACCGAATTCGATGGCTAGAAAATGAAGATCTAACTTTAAAGGAAAATCCGCCAATTTCAGAGCGCTGACGCGCCGCCCGCGAAGCGCAAGGGCACGTCGTCGCTGTTCAAGCGCCGGAGCATCACCCCGATGATGAGATTCACGCATTTCATGCGCAGAGAGCCGTCACCATACAAAAATTAACGAAATCAGGGTTCTGACTTCTCCGAACTTCTAGCCACAAATCCGACTTCTCCCCTGCCCAAACCCTATTCAGTGCCCTTCTTACCGTAACCCAAATGTTTCCCACTCCACGGGTCTTCCAGTGCATTCATTCCAGGATTCCAAAGCTTTTACAGCCGCCCCCACCATCTGTGATAATTTCTTCCTCACTCTTGCTTTTCTCACTTTTTAAGCCATTTATTCGCCCGTAAAATTTTTCGGTATTTAATTCGATTCACAATACATACACGTAGAAACTACAAAAACAGCACTACGATGACGCAGAATACAGAAACATGTAGTTTTTAAATTGTAGCGATCATTGAGCTGTTCGCCCTCTGGCGACGGGTGATGGATCGTCATCAAGCGCTTGGGGCAGGGAGGCTGAAAAAGCTGTAGTTCGTGAAGTAAAGTTGCGGCAGCTTCAGATTGAGCCTAAGCCAAAGCCTAAGTCTAAACCCAAGCCTAAGCATAAGATCGAGCGGCCAGCATCGAAGCCTAAGCCTACACGAAACCTACGCAAACCTGTGTTCAAGCTAAGCCTAAACCTATGCCCAAGCCCAAGCCCAAGCCTGAGTTCAAGTCTAAGCTCAACCCTAAGCCTAAACCTAAACCTAAGCCTAAGCCTAAGCGTAAATGACGAAAATGGCAGGGGTGCCTTGCTTTAGGAAGTCTCAGAGCAGCGGCAAGTTCAAGTCGATTGTCTGATTGCCACGTCATGGTGAACTCTAAGGGAAAATGAGCACGATCTTGGGTCAAATGAGCACGGTCAATAAAACGATTTCTGTGATTTGATCGCGAGCAGCATTGCCGGCTTGTGGCATAGTCCGCCAGATTGCGCGTTCACCAGGCGTAGAGGAACTCCAAAAATTTTTCAGGAAAAAGGGTAGCATTGGCTGGTAGAAAACCAGCAAGATGACTCATTTTTACAGCTCCGCTTCCATCGTTTTTCTGGCTGATCGCTGCTCCGATATCATCCTCGCAGCCAAAACAGAGCTGGGGCCAGAATTGCCACCCGATTTCTTGGGTTCAGAAGCTTCCCCAACATGCTGGTCTCTGTCTCCGCCCTCGGATTCGCACCAATTAGTGGGAATTTCAAAATTCCAGTTCTCAAATGGCCGCTGCTAGTCTGCCCAGCTTGCTGCGAACTTTTTGGTGTCTAAATACTTGGAATTTTCACTTTTTCTTCCTTTATCTGAGCCCGCGGTTTTATCCAGTACCTCAAGCCCATCAAAACGTAACTGAATGCCTTGATTTAAGAGATATTTGTGCGGAATCAGGTGACTGAATGGGTTAAGGGCACACCTGTGTATCTACGGATAGGTCATTTGGGGTGGATCGTCCACCCCACACAGCTGTTTATTCTCGGCTGCCGCAAATCACTCTTGGCCTCGCTCACTCTCTATCTCTCTCTCTCCACTCTCTATTGCATATCCCAAAAGATCTCCCTCAAGGGTCTCACCCTCCCCCCTTCTTCCAATATATGCCCCCCAGGGCAATTAACCTCAGCCTTCCGCTAGCTCGCACACACCAAAGGGCTGCCGAATTGAGCCTAAGAATCTCTGCTAGCCCGCCCTGAACTTTTTACGTAAGGTTTCTCAGCTAGTTGACTTGTCCCAAGCATCTATTTTTATTTTTTATCTATTTTTTATACCGCTACACCTTGGATTCCTCAATATTCTCTGCTAGCTTGCCTAACCGCGTTTTAGATAGGTGATAAATCAGCATTCCTGAATTGCCTCTGCTAGCATGCCGGATGTTAGAATTTTTAGGCTTATGAATCGCCAGGAATCTTCAATAATCTCTGCTAGCATTCCTAAATTTACTAGCATAATTCCGAAATTTCATTGTTTTCATTTTCCTTTTCGTGTGTCGGAATTTCATAATGTCGAAATTTTTGCATAAGATTTGGGCTTTTTTCAGGAGATTTGCGTAAAGTGCGACATTATGAAAACCAAATTTGCCTAGCTTATCGATTATCAAGGATTCCTCAATAATCTCTGCTGGCCTGCCTGATTTTTGACGCTATTTCTCGATCCAGAACAGCCGTCATTTAAGTATGATTCACCCGCCCCAGGAACCTGCTGATTTCGCCCCATGCATCAGTGCAGTGCTCGGAAAATCAATTTCCACCCAACACCCGACTCGCCCTAAAAACGACACGCAGACAGACAGACAGACAGACAAAACTGACAAACATCTGTTTTTCTGCCGATATTGCAAATTGGGATCCGGTTTTTCAATTTAAATCGGATTAAAAATCGGGACGCGTGGTTCGTTGCTAACAAGGGTCGCCTGGGAATCGCTAAAAACTTTCAAAAATCGTTAAAAGACAGTTTTTTTTATTTAGACCTCGTTTTTTCTTCACTGTGCCTTTAAAATTTCAGAAAAACATTTAAGTACCGTCCACTAATTCATATGGCTCAAATTCCGTCCAAATACACCATCGTGGGTAGTCCCACCAAAAATGGTACCGGACTCGAGTAGCCCGCGGGAGGGAAAGGGTCAGCAAAAGAGGGCACGCTTCCCCCGGTGAGCCCAGAGAACGAGAAGCATTTCTCTCTCTCTCTCTCTCTCTCTCTCTCTCTCTCTCTCTCTCTCTAGCTCTCTTTCTCTCGTAACTGACCACTACTCCCCCTCTTCCCCAACACTCCGCCCATCCCCTATTTTCAGCGGATCCGCAGCCCCCTGAAAGCCCCCCGGTCCCCACGGAAAGCCGCTAGCAAATTTCATCGAGTTTCGCCACGAATTTGCATCTAGAAAGCTTTAGCTTCTCTATACTAAATGCTCTTAAATTCCTTCAAAATTATGCAATTTAATGGGAGAACATGTTTTTCTTTTCCCTTTTGCTTAAGCCATTTTATTTCCGCTGCCCCAAGGGTTCTCGAGCTTAGAGCTTTCCAAACAGCTGGCTGTCTCTCTCTCTCTCTCTCTCTCTCTCTCTCTCTCTCTCTCTTTCTCTCTCGCCTAAGCTGTTTACCCGCCAGTCGTCTCTGCCCTCCAAATCAGCTGCCATTCCTTAGGCTAGCTGGTCAGGGCTTTTCGCACGTTATTTCAAGTTTTCCCCTGACATTTTTGGCGTTAGAATTGCTCACGGTTGCTTTAAATTATTTTAAGGTTTCCATAGCTGTATAACCTTGTTTACCCTATCTTCTTAAAGTCCCAGCAAGCTATCAAAATTTTTGGCTAGACTGTGGAGCCCAACGCCAGCCGGGCCCCTGAGCTACTGTATCTCGGCTCCCCGTTATCCTACAGACGTTTAATGTATACCAAAATACTTGGACTACAAGACGTGCATTTTGGTATACTTTACAACCCTGTAGGACAAGAAGAGGGAGGGAGAGAGAGAGAGAGAGAGAGAGCGAGAGAGAGTGACAGAGGGAGAGAGAGTGAGAGACATAGTGATATAGAGAGCTAGTGAGAGAGCGTGAGAGTCTTACCAAACTTTTATGGTGCTCGATATCTACTGTTTTCCCTGATATTTCGGCGCACGAAATAACTCTAATCTTATCGCTGACTCATCGGGGTTATCATTTCCGAAGGGCTACAAATTACGCCCATCCCGTTAATGCTCGAAAATCGCGGCTAGATGTTCGATAGGCGGGTTGAGTCAAGGAGGGCCGCCGCAAGGTCACTTTTTAGGGCGCAACCGGATTCGGAATCGGAGAGGGAGAGAGACAGAGAGAGGCAGAGAGCGAGAGAGATGGAGAGAGAGAAATAGAGCGAGGGAGAGAACCAGAGATAGAGGAGAGCTCTAGAGATAAAAATAAAAACACGCCGTTTTCCGTGTTTTTCCGCCGAGACTGTCCTTCCCCTCCTCGTGTCTGTGTGTGAGTAGAGGACCCTTCCGTCAACATTCACAATGAAATGGGTCCCCCGGGTCGGGATAGAGATAAGAGCGAGGGAGGAGAGGCCCAGGGATTCAGGGGGTTCTGACTCATGAATGGTCGACACGAACTGTGCGCGGGGCCCTGAAACAATCGCCCGTGCTTTTTGAGTAGTTTCTTTGACTATTTCAGTGGTTACTGGGTGCGCTAATCCACATTGACAACCGGGGGGTCACGAGTGTGGTGGCGGAATTTCAAAATGTCGCAATTTCTAGGGCATAAAACCGGTGGAATTGGGTGGCTTGGTAGGAAATCTCCGTGAACCTTACAAGAATTTTGTTCGAAAAACCTTGTTTTCCGCAAAGAATCTCTGCTGGACCCCCTTCTTTTATTAAGTGCATTCTGGTTTTTCCACAAAGAATATTTGCTAGCCTTTAATACTAAGTATTTTTCTAGTGCTTAAAAACAATGTTTTCTTCAAAGAATCTCTACTAGACGGCCCCCCTGCTCCGTTTTTCCTTGGCATATACCCTGATTTTCCTCAAAGAATTTCTGCTAGCTTTCCAACGCTCGGATACCCTACTTTTCCTTCTTGCTTTTCCGAAAGAATCCCTGCTAGCCTACTTGTCTAATTTTTAAAATGTTCCAAAACTTTTTTCAAAGGATCCCTGCTAAATTTCTAAATTTCCTTGATCTTACTACCTTTCTCCCTCTTCCCAAAAAATCCCGGCTAGTTACCCATCGTGCTTAATATTTCCGCATTATTCCGCCGTACACCAGGCGTTCTTTGTATCATCTCGTACTGTGTGCAGTCGGCAAGCCTTTTATTGGCCCCGCTGCATAGATGTATCCATAATTTCGTGGCGTCATCGATTCGGGGCCAGTTCTTCCTTTCTTTGGGCTATTTGTCAAGGTGCCAGCATGGTCAGTGAGAGAGAGAGAGAGAGAGAAGGAGAGAGAGAGCGAGCGAGCGAGAGAGAGAGAGAGAGAACAACACAAACATATAGGCAAATAGGGGAACATCTCCTTTTCTAGGTTCCGCCTATCCGTATCGTCTATCACTTCCGTTTTTCGCTTTAGAATTTCATGGCGTAATCGGTTTTATGCGAAGTATACAAGGGTATAGACGTTTCTCTCTCTCTTTCTCTCTCTCTCTCTCTCTTCATACCCCCGAAGATACCCCGAGGGCACATCGTCGCTAGATACGGGGCGATAAGGATCCCCGATCATTAGTACCGCCTTTTTGCCTTGTCGCCTTTTCCGACCTATTTTTTTCTTCCCCGCGCCTTTTGCGCGCAATTACACATCTCTTAACTCTACTAAAATTGTTTAATTTACAATGTACTAAAAAGATTCATACCAAATCGCTTGCTAACAAATTGGGCCATCCCGCCAAGACATACGAAATATCGGGCCGCCTAACAACCCGTTCGCACCCAATTTATGGCCCATATTTGGGTCAGCGTGTTTAGTGCTTGGGAATTTGAGCCCTAAACATATAATTATTTTCTAAAGTAGGAATTTACATCATGAAATGTTTTTAAATCCTGTATTGTTGTCTCTCTTCCTCTCTCTTCCTCTCTTTCTTTCTCTCTCTCTCTCTCTCACTAGCTCTCTCTCTCTCCTTCTGTCTCTCGATCTCTCACTGATCTTTCCAGTCCTAAAAACAACCTCGACATTACGAGTGTCTAGACGAATCATCGGCCCGTGCCCGTATATCTCTCATTCTCGCAAGGGCACACGCTCTCTCAGTTTCCTCTAAAATAACTCGCCCCTTTAAAAGGCCAGTGACTCATTTCCGTTGCCTTTTGCCTAGCTTCCACCCTATTTGCCAACGGGCTTAGTTTTCGCAGGGCTTTGGGCGCATCATTTTCAGTTTTTGGCCACCTTCGTTTCTATTTTCGCTATTTTTGTTGGCAGGATAGCCTTTGAGAGCGAGAGAGAGAGCGAGAGACAGAAAAAGAGAGAGATAAAGATAGATAAAGAGAGCGAGAGAGAGAATGAGAAAGGTATATTTGTTAGGCCCCTTATATGTTTTGGACCGTCACCATCTCGTAGATAAGTGGTTCCGTAGCGGAATTAGTAATGGAGTGGAATGAAGTGGGTTGCGAGAGAAAGAGAGAGAAAGAGAGAGAGCCAGAAAAGAATCCCCTTGCATACCTGGATGACCCATCCAGGCCGTCACAGAGCTGGCGAGGATCTGTCGGAACAGTGACCTTCATCCTCTCTCTGTCTCTCTCACTCTCTCTCTCGCTCTCTCTCTCTCTCTTTCTTTCCCGGCTTCGGAAAAGACCGCTTACCGCACCAAACAGATTATTTTGGTCACAGCTGTTGTGCAGTTTTTTTAAGTTTGATGATAGCAGCTTGGGGTGAATTTGGGTGAAAAAGAGAAAGAGAGAGAAAGATAGAGGTAGATCTTCTCCATAACATGTGAAAAAGCCGATTACCATTGACTGTGCAATTCATCATCATAGTGGGAGGACTGTCATTATGTTGTGTCGCGTACAAATCCCAGTGACTCATACGTTTTTGCTTCTATTTTGAGCTTTTCAATTTATTCTCCCATGCGGTTCCATGTTCCCTATAAATCTCATTTATTTTTATGAATTCCGACTGGGTAGCATTAATTTTAAAAAGCCGCGAATTGATCGGGGATTTTGGCCAAAATACGCAAACAATTTTTAATTCACATTTGTCCTTCAAACCAATCTTTCAAAAGTTTTTTAAAAGTAAAATTATTTAATTTTTTTGTGCAGGCAATGCGATGGAAGGGCCTCAATTCAGCGATTCCGCTCCTCCTCGTCTCCTTAATCTATCGCGTAAATTCAGAAGACACGGGTCCAATTGGAGAGCATGTGTGCACAGTACCAAAATTGTAAGTTTTCTAAGCGTATGCCTAAGACCAAGCAAAAGCCTGCTTAAACCTAAGCCAAAGCCTAAATCAAGCCTAAGTCTAAACCCGCTTAAATAATTTATTTTCAGAGTGGATTCCTATGAAATCCAGAAGGTCGTCCGGCCCACGACGCTCGTCGATTACGAAACTTGTGCAGATATTACACAGGGATTTAGCTGTAAAACTGTCAAGTAAGTTTTTTGAGCTTTGAAAAATTTGGTTGGGAAGCTAGGCAGGCTGGTAGAGATCCTTAGGGAAACAGGGCCAGCTTGCAGATGTCTGTGCTTCGGGGTAGGTTAACAGCAGATAGCCGAGATCCTTGGGGAATCGAGGCAGCCCAGCAGAGATGCTTGAGGAAAATCAAGGATACGCGAGCAGAGACTATTTGGGACTCGAGCAAGCTAGCAGAGAATATTGGGGAGCCGGGTAAGCTTGCAGAAATTCTTAGGGAACCGGGTCGCATAGCAGAGTTATCTAACGAATCAGGGAGGACTAGCCGAGATCTTTGTGCCCGGCATGCTAACAGAGACCCTTGGGGAGCCGGGTAAGCTTGCAGATAGCTTTGTGGAACCGGGGGTGAGCTAGCAGAGAGCATTTAGGAAGCGGAAGTCGGGGCTGCCTGGTAGAGATACTTGAAGAATCAGGCAAGCCTGCAAAGATCCTTGAGGAAACGGTAACAATCTCATCTTTTACAGGACCGGCAACAAGGTCACCTACGAGCGACGGTTGAAGAAGATTGAAAAGTACGTGCGGGAATGCTGCGAGGGGTACTACGAGACAAAGGACAGAATATGCAAACGTACGTGTCCCCAGCATCTTTTAAAGGACTCGGCAACCTTTCAGCCGACTGTAACCCGGCCTGCAAGAAGGGCCGTTGCGTGGAGCCGAACGTTTGCGAGTGCGACGCTGGTTATGGTGGGAAGACGTGTGCTTCGAGTAAGTTTTTAAGGCAAATTTGTCGTTTTATGGCTGATTTTTATGTCGTAATCGGTTAAACGTATTTTTCGGACGATTTTTATGTCGTAATCGATCGGGGTAATTTTAGAATTGACCCCAATTTGGGTTTCACGGAGAATAATAAGGGGTTTTTTCTGAGTTTCATAGCATAATCGGTTAAACTCAGGAGAATTTGTTTTTTACGATATGAAACTAGTTTTATTTAAACATATTTTAATGGCGTGATCAGCTAAGCACATGTCGAACTCCAAATCAGCTTGCATCTTCGGCAAATTCCATACCGTAATCGGTCAAACCCACCCCGAACAAGGCTGGATTTGGATTTAAGATCACAAGGAATTTTTGTGCATAGATTTTCATAGCGTAATGGTTGGTTTGAGCTCTTCCTAAAAACCTATCAAAATCCATTTCCAGCATGCTCCTTCGGCAAATGGGGCCCGTCCTGCCGAAATGAGTGCGGCTGTGAGAACGGAGCGAGTTGCGACCCGGAGTCCGGAGTCTGCGCCTGTACTGTTGGTGGGTCAAAATTTATTTGAGCTTAACAGGAACAAATTGATCTTTACACACTGCCTTTAAAACATAAATCAATGCCTTAATTTTAGGGTGGAAGGGCGAAAAGTGCGGTGAGGCCTGCGACCCGGAGAAGGAATGGGGTGTCGGATGCAAGGAGAAGTGCATCTGTCAGAATGGCGGAAAGTGAGTGAAATTTTTGGTTAGGCTTAGGCTTAGCTTAGGCTTAGCTTAGGTTTGGGCTTAGCTTGGGCTTAGGCTTGGGCTTGGGCCTAGCTGCGGTTTAGCTTCAGATCAGGCTGGGCTTAGCCTATGCTTAGCTCATGCCTAGTTTATGCTTAACCTATGCTTAGCTTAGGCCTAGTTTAAGCTTCGGCTTCGCTTAGGTTTAAGCTAAGCCTAGGCCTTTGGCTGATTACGCAACGAAATAACCTAGGAAATGCTCTGGCCTCTTTAAAAATCCGCTTACAGATGCGAGGCGACAACCGGAGAATGCAAATGCCGAAAGGGATACGGTGGAAAGTACTGTCTACAGCAATGTTCCGAGGTACACCTGCTCACATAAATTTCAAATATCCATTGAAGGGAATGTTCGGCGAGGATTGCCAATTCTCGTGCAACTGCCAGAATGGGGCCACCTGCGACCGTGAGAATGGGAAATGTCTCTGTGCGCCGGGCTTCAAGGTGGGTTATAGTTTGTAGTAGAGTTGGCAATTTTTAGTTTGTGGTTTCTCTTTAAAATACCGTATATTTCTAGGGCCCCGTGTGTGAGGAGGCTTGCCCTGACGGGACATTCGGGCCAAATTGCGAGAAAAAGTGCAGCTGTCTGAACAATAACAACTGCGACGCGAAGACTGGAAAGTGAGTAGTTCAGTTTGGCTTAGGTCTAGGCTTAGGCTTGGCTTAGGTCTAGGCTTAGACTTAGGCTTAGGTCGAGGCTTAGGCTTAGATTTAGGCTTAGGTTAGGCTTAGGCCTGTGCTTAGGTCTAGGCCTAGGTTCAGGTTTAGCGATGGATCCCAGCGACTTCGCTTGTCCATACTAATTTATCCACTTTTTTTATCCTAAATACAATTTAATTATTTATTTAGATGCATTTGCATCGGCTGGAAGGGACCACAATGCGAAACGGGATGTCCAAGAGGATTTTTCGGGCGCGACGTGAGTTTTTCGTGACAAAAAGGGGGTATAGCGACAAGATACGTTGGCTCTATCCTAATAGCGGGGACCATAGAAATTATCGGGGACCTTACGAAATATCGTGGACCGATCGCGAATATCGCGGACTTTAAAATCGGCCATATAGGCCAAAATTTCGGCTGATCAATATCGTGGACTTTAGAATTTGAACTCCAGCCGGGCTATGGTCCACGATATTGACCGATACAAAAAATATCGGAAATTGCCGGAAAACGCCTGCTAATCGAGCAAAGGGCAATTCACTGGCTTCCCAAGCGCCAGGGGCTACAGAGAAGCTTACCTTGCCATCTTCCTTGGCACTTCACTGTCTTGGACGACTTGACGCTTATGGCGAGGTGATCGTCCTTTTGAGCTACGCCACTCCAAATAAATTTGTAGGCGCCTCCAATTTTTTGCCCTGGGAAATTGCCAGTGGGAAAGTCGGCTTAACTTGGGGTTCGAGCTCGATGCGTTACGTACGGATCCGTACAGGTCATTTGACGATGTTACAGCACAAACCGAGTTTGAAATCGCCTAACATGACCTTAGATGGGGGAATTAGCCCTAAGTTACGCCGGGGGTACGATGCGATCACGAACAAGTTCAGGGAGTTTTGCGTTTTAAATGCGCAATTGAGTCTTGAGATGCATCTGCTACCGGTCGGAAGGCCTCTGTGGACCACATCGCTCGGTAACACGGCGAAATTATCGTTCCCTTCGCTAAAACGAACCCGTCCACAGATCATTTTTGATGCCACGATTTTTTCGGTCTTGGAGCACGAGCTCACTGTGTCTGCCCTGCGAAAAATAATGTCTGAAGCAAGAGCATCACCAGCAACCATTTCCGATGCTTTTCGAGGTGAAAAAATATGCAGAAACCGGAAATCGCGAAAAAATTGGTCCTGCCTGTGGTACTAACTTAGTAAAAAATTGGTACTAACAAGTTTTTTTCAGCTTCCCAAACCCGAACTAGTATTTAGTAATTTGGGTCAAAGCGCTATAATGACTGGCAATTTCCCAGGGCAAAAAATTGGAGGCGCCTACAAATTTATTTGGAGTGGCGTAGCTCAAAGGACGATCACCTCGCCATAAGCGTCAAGTCGTCCAAGACAGTGAAGTGCCAAGGAAGATGGCAAGGTAAGCTTCTCTGTAGCCCCTGGCGCTTGGGAAGCCAGTGAATTGCCCTTTGCTCGATTAGCAGGCGTTTTCCGGCAATTTCCGATATTTTTTGTATCGGTCAATATCGTGGACCATAGCCCGGCTGGAGTTCAAATTCTAAAGTCCACGATATTGATCAGCCGAAATTTTGGCCTATATGGCCGATTTTAAAGTCCGCGATATTCGCGATCGGTCCACGATATTTCGTAAGGTCCCCGATAATTTCTATGGTACCCGATATTTTTTATGGTACCCGATATTTTCTATGGTACCCGATATTTTTTATGGCCCCCGATAATTTCTATGGTCCCCGATAATTTCTATGGTCCCCGCTATTAGGATAGAGCCGATACACGTTTGCCAAAATGTACATCAAATAGTACAAAAATAAATAAAGCTTTACAAGAACAATTCCTTCAGTGCTCGGAAAAGTGTCAATGCGCGGGCATCGACCGTCCCGATTCGAAGGCAGCGTGCGATGCAATCACCGGCACTTGCCTATGCGAGAAAGGCTTCGCCGGGGCCGATTGTCAATTTAGAGGTGTGTACGGTGGAGCATTGCGTAGTTTAGTGTTTTCCAGCTTGCCCGGAGGATATGTGGGGTCAGAAGTGCGACCAGCAATGTACCTGTTTGATGGATAACACGGAGACGTGAGTTGTTGAGATTTTATGCTAGTTCGCCATTACCTGCCAAAAAGATCTTTGCTAGCTTGCCACGCTTGAGCTTAGAGAAAATGTCAAACGATAGAAAACAATATAGAGTTGTCGGTCAAATCAGCCAATTTTTTAAACGACGTCAAAACGGACAAAATTTGTTATGTAAGGTTGAGATATCCCCAAATAAATTTTGCCAAAAATCACTATTAATCTGGCGTTGTAATTTAAATTTCTATAGTTTCGCGCCCCACGATAATGGAAAAGATCCCGATCATTGAATTTTCCCCAAAGGAACTTTGCTAGCTTGCCGATTCCGTTATTAGACATCTAGGACTCAATCGGACTTTTCCTAAGGCATCACTGCCAGCTAGCCCTAGGCTGTCATATTCAACCGTCAATGCTCGAGTTTCCGCCAATGATTTTTGCTCGTTGCTCTCCAATTTCCTCTGCTGGTTCGCCCGAGCATTTCCTAAAACGCAAGAATTAGGACAGCAAGTTTCTCCCATCCAAGTATCGAAAATTTCCGTTACACAACACCCTACACCCCCTGTATTTCCAGGTGTACGCCCGATACCGGCGATTGCCGCTGCAAAGCCGGCTGGACCGGTGATTCCTGCGAAAAGCGTTGCGACAAGATGCGTTGGGGTGTGGATTGCGGCCGGAATTGTACTTGCGACTTTGCCTTCGCCTCGGAATGCTCCCCAGATAAAGGAGCATGCGTCTGTTTGCCGGGATATTATGGCACCGAGTAAGTGGATTGCCTTCAAGGGTCCTTTAAAGAGCACTTTTGACACGGGCTACGTCTACGCCTATTTACGGATGCTAATCACTAATTTCGGCACCTAATTGGCGTAACTAAGTGTCCGTGTAGCGCTAGCCTGAACGTGCGCGCCCGCAACTTTTCTATCCCAGCTCCCTGGTGACCTACAAGTGTGGGAGATATACCAAAATGTTTGTCTTGGCTGGGCGAATCTTTTGGTATACTTTACACAGCTGTAGGGTCAAGGGGAACCGAAATACCGTAGATAAGGTCCACTGGGGCGGAAAATTTGCAGAGTTTAGCTCCTAAAAACATCGATTCAGCTGCAAGAAGACATGCCCTGCGGGAAAATTCGGGCTCGACTGTGCCTTTGATTGCCAGTGCAAGCATGGCCAGTGCAATCCGGTCAATGGGAAATGCATCTGCGAGAAAGGTCGGTTTTTAGGGCACCATTAAAGGTATCAAGAAGTAGAGGGTTCGAACCTTGTCTATGTAGTTTCCTAAGGATAGAGTCGGTAGTCCATATAGCCGGATGGTAGCCAAAATGAACTATTGATTTAGGACGTTTTAGACACTAATTTTCAGGTTTCCAAGGCCGCGATTGCGAATTCGGATGCCCGGCCGGCACTGCCGGTGCTGGGTGCAAGGCTTGCGAGTGTGGCGGAAATGGTCGCGGATGTTCAGCCCAAAATGGGACATGTCTCTGCCGGGCCGGCTTCCACCTTTCAGACGACAACAAATGCCAGTTGCCCTGCCCGGAGGGTGGTTCGGATTGGACTGTCGGCACAAGAGTGCTTGCAAGGTGAGATATCCCACCCCTTTAATTCCCTCAAATCCTTCAGGTGCCTGGAAAACCGACAAAACGCGGGGCTACTGTGGCGGCCGATAGCGGCATCTGCAAGTGTACGGCGGATTTTAAGGGTCCGTATTTTTCGCTAGATTTTTTGCCTTCAATGGCCCTTTAAAAAGCTATATTTAGGCGAGGACTGCTCCACGCAATGCCCTCAAGGTCTTTTCGGGCAGGCGTGCAAACGGGAGTGTGATTGTGGGGATTACTTCTGCAATCAGGAGACTGGACAGTGCTCGTGTCCACCTGGGAAGAGAGGGCGACGATGCGAAGAAGGTCGGTTGATACGCTTAAGCCTAAGCATAAGCATAGGCATAAGTCTAAGCATAAGGATAAGCCTATGTAAGCCTAACAAGACTTGTAAGCCTACGCTTAACGTAAGCCTAAGCCTGAACCTAAGCCTAGGCCTAAGCAAAACCTAAGCTGAGCTCAAGCCTAAGCCTAAGCCCAAAGCCCAAACCTAAGCCTGCCATTCCAGCCTGCCCTTCCGGCCATTTCGGCCTCGATTGTGACTTTGAATGCCCGAATTGTGCCCAAAACGAAGAAGAGGGACCCACCTGCGATGGCCAGACCGGAAAATGCAAATCGTGGGGTTTTTTTTATGAAAATTAATTGTTAATGTATTTCTCAGATGTCCGCTCGGAAAGTACGGCCACTTCTGCGAGGAAAACTGCCCGGCGGGGACCTATGGAAAGGATTGTGCCGAGGTATCTTGTTTTCTGCTTAGGAGATTAGCAACAAGCTAAAGCGCTGGCTGAACTCCAGATAACCCCCCTAGCCGACCCCCACCTACCGTATCTCGGCTCCCTGTTGATCTACAGGTGTGTAAAGTACACCAAAATACTCGCCAGAGCAAGGCGAACAATTTCGTATACTTTACACACCTGTAGATGAACAGGCAGCCGAGATACAAAACTTGGGGGCCGGCTGGGGGGGATCTGGAGACTTACCAAAGAGCTCGAAGCTAAAAACAATTTTATGGACATTTTTTATTAAATTCCGTTTTTTAAATCCGATTTAGAAATGCTCGTGTGATGCCGGGGAATGCGATCCGGCCACTGGGAAATGCCACTGCCCGCCAGGAAGGGTCGGCGAGAGCTGCGAAAAAAAGTGAGTCTCTCATAAAGTGAAGGGGACGTGCAAGGCTGGTTTTCGTATGGATTTTGCCAACCGCGCCACACGCGATACGACCGCCGTTCCATTGCGTAATCGGACAGACCTTTGCGTCGGCGGGCGCGTTGCGTGGCGCGGTCCCATGGGAGATCTGTGGCCAAAAGGACATCGAGCAGAAACATGCCGTACCTGATTCGGTCGCATTTTAGAATGCGACGCTGGAACCTGGGGTGTGGGTTGTTCATCTACATGCCCCCGATGTGCGAATGGAGGTGTTTGTGATGGCGAGACGGGACTGTGTCTATGCCGACCAGGCTGGCAGGGCAGAACTTGCGAGAGGCGTACGTTTATCGCATTAATGATATCCCATTTGGTTGAACTTTAAAGGGACGGGCAAAACCACTAGGTTCTTTTGCATTATCGGGGGAACGTCATCTTTTTTTTACGGGGCTGGATTTTTTCTAAATAGATCTCTAAATCTTCTAAATAATTTCTCTAAATTGTTTGCTACAATTTTTAAACGTAAAAATTTAAAAATTTGATGAGAAAAATACAAAAAAATGCAGATTTTTCGACCAAAATGAACGATGTTTCGAAACTCATGATTTGAATAAAAATGTTTTCTAAGTTTTTATTGTTTTCCACTTAAAATAGGGTTAGATTTTGCTAGCAGTACAAAAACACTTGCTATTACGTTATTAGGCATTCTGGAGTCCTAGAAAAAATTGTGACCGCCCCCGCCCCGATAAGACGAAAGAACCGGCAACGCTACAAAGCTGAGGTGTCGTTTTTCATTTCACCGCTTTTCAGAGTGCCAGCCAGGCTTCTGGGGGCTTGGGTGTGAGAAGAGCTGCTCGTGCGCCTCGGAATTCAAGCAGTGCCACCCGGAAACCGGGGAATGCGCGTGCCCATCCGGTACTCAGGGTGATCAATGCTCTCAACCTTGTGAGCCCGGCTTCTTTGGGCCCGACTGTATACAGCATTGCAAGTGTCAGGTTCGTTATAACGAGCTTAAGTGACGCTATTCCTTTCACGCTAGACTACGGGTTAGAGTGCAGTTTACCCACCCCCCAGCCGGCACCCAACTTTTGTATCTCGGCTCCCTGTTCATCTACAGGTGCGTAAAGTATACCAAAATGTTCGTATTGCTCTGTCGAGTATTTTGCTACACTTTACACACCAGTAGATGAACAGGGAGCCGAGATACGGTTGGTGGGGGTCGGCTGGGGGGGGGGGGGTAAACTGCACTTAAAGGTACACTAAAATATCGCTTAAAAAAGTAGTTCGTGGTCGGGAATTTGCTCCCTTTGTCGTTGGATGGACCGACCCTTCATATCCCCTCTCCGCCTCCCTTCCCTTGTCTCTCCCATGGCCTATTGGTCTTGGCGCTTGCCCCAGGCGAGTGGTCCGGTTCGGTTTTGCTCCGCGGCGGCCCTCCGTAACCCTGTTTGCTATCCCGCGGACGGTTACCGGCCGGTAACCAACCGAACGAGACGTTAGTGTACCTTTAAGCCACATTACGCTCCAAATTACACCGATTTTAGGGGATCAGCACAGCGACGTGCAACCGCTTCACCGGCTCCTGCCAATGCCACCCGGGTTTCGAGGGCGAATTCTGCCATAATTGTGAGTGCTTCCGGGTCTATCAATCTTTTGCGTACTATTAGTGTGCCCGGAAGGTCGATTCGGGCTGAAATGCGCGAAGGAGTGCGGGAAGTGTCCTGGGGAGGAGGAGCGATGTGATGCTGCTATCGGATGCTGCCATCCGGATGATATTCAATGCGGGAAAGCCAGTGGGTTAAGCTCAAAATTTTTGACAACCTTTAAAATAAGCTTAATGTATCTCATGACTTGAAATTAGGCCACTTTAGGCTATGATTTAAGAGCAATAAAACAAAAAGTCAAAATTGAATAAAAATAAATTAATTAGAATAAATTTAGTAAACTGATTTTAATAAATAATTCTGCTTAAATATAAATAATATTAAAATAAATGCAGAAACAATAATCCTAAAAATAAGGCTGTGCTTTTGGGCGTTGTAAAGTTTTGCCCTGACCCGCCAAACCCTCGTCACATTACCACCGTGAACTGGCCGTAATCCATTACGCGATGAAACTATTTTGTGCGTTGCGTGTTTTTTAACGGAGCGAATCCATAGCAAACCTTTCCAGGCCCTTTAAAACAAATCCAAACCCAAAAATTATTTTTTTTGCAGTGGAAGCCTACCTGAAAATGGGAAACGCCGGCCGGGGTCCGTCGTTCTGGCTGTGGTTGATGGCCATCATCGCCATCATCATTGGGGTCGTGTTCTTCTGCGGGCTGTTCCACTACCGCCGGAAATACAAGAAGGAGAAGGTGCCCGAGTTGCCGAATGTTGTGTAAGTTTTATGCGCATTTTCAAGAGTCGTCAGTGCATAGCGTTGCGTACATACAAAAACTTTCATTAATGCTTCTATCCACTCTCTTCAGATACTACAACACCGAGGACAAAGACGCCAACGAGTTCAACAACCCGCTCTACTCGAACACCGGCGCTTTCGATCGAGACCTAAGGTTTGGGAGTTTAAAGGGCTATTGAAGCGAAATTCGAGCGTTGGAGAGTGAGGATAAGATTTCTTCAGGTCCGTCTCCCTTTAAATCACTCATTTCAGCCAGCACAACCACGTGATGACCGAGGTCGAGGAGAAGGACGAGATCGAGCAGCTCAAGGGACGTAATATTCGCGGAAAGAAGGGCAATGGTAAGATTGGAGGTGTAATAGGCTTGGCTTGGGCTTAGGCTTAGGCTTAGGCTTAGGCGTATTTTTAGGATTGGGCATGGGTTTAGGGTTTGGCTAAGGTTTAGGCTTACAAAGAGTCGCTTTTAGGTGCTTTTGGAGTTTCTGGACGGGACCTAGCTAGTTCGATAGAGAAAAAAATTCTGAGCAACATCCCGTTTTCAAAAAGTGCTGATCGATAAAGCTGTTTTAGAAAATTGAATTTAATTAAAAATGTTCCCGGTGTCCGGACCCTTGTGGTGATTTGAGGTGATTTGCGGCGGTCGATCGCCCCTGCCACATGAGGACTTCACGCGCCTTGGATCTCGTCCTATGCATGGCCAAGTGGCTAGTGCGTTGGCCTACGAAGTTTTTTTGACCTTTTGCCACAAGTTCGATTCTTATTTACCGTTAACTCCTTGCTTTTTTGCTAATTAAAATTTTATGCACCGATAACGGGCTCAAGAACCAAAAAGCAAAGGGTTAGCCAGCGCGAAGATCCGAACCCGAGGCAAAAAAAATGTTAAAAAGTTGGTGGGCAAGCGCGCTACCAATACGCTAATGCAACCTGTGATGGAGGCATTGGCGGAGGGTTACGAATGGCGCCCTGCCCCGCCCCGAAAACGACGTGAACCGAGGAAATGGACCCAAAAACCAGAAAAAAACGCGAACTTTAAATTAAATTTTCTAAAATTCCTTTATCGATCAGCACTTTTTGAAAACGGGATGTTGCTCAGAATTTTTTTCTCTATCGAACTAGCTAGGTCCCGTCCAGAAACTCCAAAAGCACCTAAACGCGACTCCTTGTTAGGCTAACAAGCTGAGGCATAGGCTTGGGCTTAGGTTGAGGCTTAGGCTTCGATTTAGGTGAGGCCTAGGCTTAGGTTAGGCTGAGGCTTCGGCATAGGTTAGGCTTACGCCTAAGGTTAGTCTTAAGCCTAGGCTTAGGTTAGGCTTAACCCTAGGCTTGGGCTTAGGCTTAGCTGCGGTTTCTTAGGCTTACAAGGAGTGTCCTTTTGGTGTCATCGGCAAAACGATTCGAGACCCAGCTCATTCGATAGAGAATTGAATTCTGAACAAGACTGTGTTGTTCATTTTTGCGGAATGGCTGTCCCTGATTTTATAAAATTAAAAAACTGCCGGCGACGCCCATACATTGGTGCTTGGGAAGCAATTTGTTAAGGTTTCGCGCTTGGTTTTTTAATTATATAAAATCAGGGACAGCCATTCCGCAAAAATGATCAACACAGTCTTGTTCAGAATTCAATTCTCTATCGAATGAGCTGGGTCTCGAATCGTTTTGCCGATGACACCAAAAGGACACTCCTTGTTAGTTTTAAGCTTAGGCTGAGACTTAGAATCGCTGAGCTTAGGTTTAGTCCTAGGCTTGGCGTCAGCCTAACAAAATAAAAGTTATCACATAATGTATTACATATTCATTCCAGACTACGCAACACTCGACGATATGCGGAATTCGCCGAGCACCTCCGTCGGCTCCCCGGGATCATCATCACAATGTAGGGAGCCATTGCTCAAAAAAGGCTAAAAAATTCCCATTATTTTTCTGGCGTTTCTCAATGTAATGATTATTAGTTTATTGTTAAGTTTTCTAAAGGGACGTGGAAGGCAAGATTGAAACGATTTTTGAAGGCTTTTTTGGCCGATTTTTCCTTCTCATCCAGGTCCCTCCAATGACGATTATCAGTCAAACTACGCATATTTTTTTTGGAGAATTTGCAGAATTTTATTTTTGAAATTCTCTTACTAACAATTTGGTGTCGGTCTCTCTCCTTCAATTATCCTTCTATCTTTCGCCGCTCAAAGACTCTCCCTCCCCTAAGAGATTTGCACACAAAATCCGCGTCAACCGGTGTTGTCTCATTGTGTTTTGTTGTTTTTCGTTGTTGTCGCGAGACGGCCAGCCCTTCCAGATGCCGTCATCTCCGACTTGGAATCTCCCTAAAAACCCCTGCAAAGATATGCATACAGTTAAAATTCCGGTAAGGCTGCATGCGGTTTTTCGGGATTTTTTGAGGTGTTTCCCGGATTTTGCTAGTTTTACTAACAGTATTAATGGTTTGCTTAGTGTCACCTTTTGCCTTGCCTGCCTAATGCTATTTTTGCATGCCCTCCCAAAGCCCCCCCCAAGCATGTACATATTTGATTTATATTACCCGAAACATATTTTTTGGTGTGTCACGAGGAGTCCTGCGGATTTTTTTAAACTTTTTGATCAAAAGCGGCTGACGAAGCGAAGCTAAGCTTAAGCCTAAACTTAAGCCAAGCCTAGCCTAAGGCCAAGCTAGGTCTAAGCGGAACCTAAGCTAAGCCTAGGCATAAACCTAAGCCCAAGCTAGGTCTAAGCTAAACCTAAGCCAAGCCTAAACATAAGCCTGACCTAAGCCTGACCTACCTGACCTACTTAAGCCTAAGCCTGTCCCAATATAGACATCCGCAGGACTGCCTCGACCCCCATAAATTCCGCGCCCATTACCATAAGTTTGTGTGTCCATTTATTTTTGCGGGTTCTCCCCCAGACTCAATAAAGGCCATTTCCCGGATTTTCTGGACATTTTCGAGTCACACAGGCGAAAACGGCGACAGGAAATGGCTTGGTGGCGGCGGGTTTTGCTTGAAAGGGGTGGAAAATCTTTAAAAATCTGGTTTTCTGGTATTTACATGTTGCATGCCAATTTTCGTGCTTGATTTTTCAGGGGTCCTCCTGCAAATTTTTTGGGTTCTAAGAACTAGAGAAAGCGGCTTAATTTGCAATGTTATCATGAAAAAATTTAATTTTTAATTATTGAGTTAATTTTTCATTATATTTTAAGCTTACAAAAGATTAATCCCTCCCCCGCATGCAAATTCGTTAAAAAACTCGATTTACGGGCGCAAATTGCAGACGAGAATACGGGTGCTGCGTGGGACGCCGAGAAGCAGAACTACGACAATCACAAAAAGAACCAGAACTATTATTCGTAGCCGAACGCGTCAAATTGTATGATCTAGAGTGTATGTAGATGCTCAACATTGTGATGTTGCTCCCCCAATTCTAGGTTTCCTCCCTTTTCCCTCCCCCATTCCGAGCTTCAACCCGAGTGCTTTTTTGGTGATTTGCATAATGTTTCTCAAAGAATTTTGAGGGATTTTGAAGGGGCGTTGCTCTCTGGATTTCTCTCGCTCTCTCGCTCTCTCGCTCTCTCTCTCTCTCTCGCTCTCTATCAACCCGATTTCCCCATGGTCATTCTACCATCGCTTTGCCCAGTTTTTTCCCTTTGAAATTTCAACCCGCGGGTACCCGATTTGTCCATAATCACAGCGAACGCTTTGAGAATTATCTAAAAGCTTTGATAAACAGATTTTAACATTTTTTTAATAGAATGAGGTACCCGCCAAGTCGCGCCGCGAAACGCAAAGCAACACGCAAAACGTGACACGCGACGCGCAACGCAACACGCAAAACTTGACACGCGACGCGCAACGCGAGACGCAACGCGACACGCAACGCAGCACGCCATGCATAGAACTGCGGCTTCATAGACAAAGACGCAGAAAACCGCTACGCAAAAGCAACGCACAGAACGGCAACGCGACACGTAACGCACAGAGCCGCAACGGAACGCGCAGCGCTGACGTGAGATGCACCGCGATACGCAGCGCAGGAGCCGCAACGTGAACTACAGCGCACAAAACCGCATCGCTATACGTACCGCAACGCGTAGCGCCAAACCATCGGGCATTCATTTTAGAATCACAATTTAGATTAAAATTGAGCAGTTTTATTCATCGGTAAAAATCTGGTATTCAGACAAGGACGGCCGACATCGGATCGTTCACCGGCGGCAGCGACAACGTCACGGTATCGGAACCTGGAAAATCTACGCATTAAGGGTACAGAAAAGCTAAAAAGCGCGACGATACGCAAAGTGACGTCTGCCTCTCAATGATTCGATTTTCTGACCTTGCTGAAGATGTCGCAAGTATTTGGCAGTCGTGGAAATCAGCGAGAGCTGCCACATGGCTAACAACGTCGCCAGGTTCGACACCAAGTGGAAGGCGATCGAGAAGAATTCGACGCTGGGCGAGAACAATGACTCGGCGATCCCTGAATTTAGCTTAGGCTTCGGTTTGGACTTAAGCTTAGGATTAGGCTTAGGTTGCATTTAGATTTAGACTTGGGCCTTAGGCTTATCTTAGAATTAGCATAGGCTTAGGCTTAGCTTAGGGCTTAGGCTCAGGCTCATGCTGATTCAGAGTTAAGCTCAGGCCTAGGCTCCTGCTCCAAAAGGGTAAGCTGGTACGGCTTAATACCCACATTCATGCTTCTCCTTGTTGAAGATGCTGATGAAGAACATGTAGGCACCGAGGAAGAGCAGGAAAAAGATGGAGAAGTACTGAAACGGGCTCTTTCTAAAGGGACCAGCAATTCAGGACCTACCACGTAGATCCGAAAAGGCAGCAGCAAATTTGGTATACGCTTGGTGAAGGCGACGACGGCCAGGGCACAGACGATTAGGGCTATAAATGTGAGGTTACCAAAAGCTTTCTGTCCTCAAGGTATCACTGCTAGCCTCCCCCTGTGTGTCTGGTTTTCCGGGAGAGTCTCTGCAATTTTGCCATCCGCTTGTGCCTTCTTAAATGCCCACTAGCGCCTAAAAACTCTTGAAAATCACCTGGGAGAGTGACGAGCAGGGCGTGCGGGACAAAGATGTAGCTGAAGAAGAGGCTGGTAACAACATGATAGCCCACCACCACCGGGAACACGCGCTGAAAAAACGTCGGACTTTTGAATCCACACAAAATACCTGCAAGCTTGCCTTAATCTGCAGGTTTTTAGGTTAAGCCAGTGAAATTCAAATACCTTGACATGGACGGTGTCGAGAAAGCAGTGGTATGGCAGATCATATTGGCTCATGCTCGGACATCACGGCCTGAAGACGGATTTCCACAAAGGTTTCTGCTAGGCTGCCCCATCTATCGCGAGAAAGAGAGAGAGAGAGAGAGAGAGAGAGCGAGAGATGGAGAGGGAGGGAGAGAGTTCAAGAGATTGAGCTAGAGAACTAAAGCGTAAAAGCAAGTAGGATAGAGAAAAAGAGTGCAAGAGCAAGAGAACGAGGGAGAGAGAGCACGAGTCTGAGAGAGTAAGAGGGTGAAAGCGAGAGGGCGAGAGTGAGGGATAGTTAAAGAAAGGGAGGTCGAGAAAGCGAGTGAAGGCTAGATAGAGAGAAAGAGAGAGCCAGAGAGCCAGAGAGAGAGAGAGAGAGAGAGAGAGAGAGAGGGAGAGAGAGAGAGCATGAGCGCGAGTGCAAGATTGTCGAAAATTTATACCAAACCTTTTCCTTTCGGAACCACAATAAGATGAAGCCCTCAACGCCGTCCGGAGGATAGTGCTGGAAAAAAGGTCCATTCGAAGGGCCAAAAATTGAATCTCGGCCGAAGGGGCCCAAGATAAAGAGCATAAAACGAGGTGAGGGGCGTCGAGAAAGACTGGGGAAGGCAACGACCAACACATGCAAATCGGGACGTGGACCCTAAGGGGTCGAAGCAATGGCAAAGGGCCACTGGCCTCCCAACGGCCATCAATCCCACATAAACGACCAAAAGAGGAGAGCCATGAGGGGAGGGGAAAGGTGGGATGCTGAGCATAAACTCCTAAAGACGGTTTTTCTTACGTGATCTTTGCTAGCTTGCCCTTATAATAAAGAGGATAAAAAATCCCTGCTCGTCTGCCAAGGCTGAAAAGTTCCTAAGGAATCTCTGCTAACCTGTCTTGCCTGAAAAAGCGGAGAAGGTTTGCTACTAGTCTTTAGCTAAGAATTTGGCAAAGGATCTCTGCTAGTTTGCCAGGACGAAAAAGTGAGCAAAGAATCCCTGCTAGCCTGCCTCTCCCCAAAAATTCTCCAATAATCGCCGCTAGCTTGCCTCGCAAGGATTATCTACTGAAAATCTATGTCTATTTATTTACTAAATTACTAAAATTATTCAGTTTACAAAAAACTACTAAACAATTTTCACCTGGTCTTCTTTCCCAAAGGATCTTGGCCAGTTTTCCCTGTAATGTAGCCGAAACTAGCAGAGATTCCTAGGGAATCTCAATAACTCTAAATTCCCTTTTCCAAGCCCAAAAATCGACAAATGATCGAGGAAAATCATGTGAGAGACGCCGGCGGGAAGAAATGGACATTTCGAGGTGAAGCCGAAGGGTCTGGACAGCTGTCGGCAGCTCCGGCTAGCTTATGGCTATGTGTTTCTCTGTCTCTCTCTGTCTCTCTCTCTCTCTCTGTCTCTCTTTCTCTCTCTCTCTCTTTCCTGGAGCCCTTCCAAAAATAACAAGTCTAAGAAAAGGACTAAGGGGAGTGCGACCCAGATATATGAAACCCCGCCGGGATATTCACATGGCCGGGACTCGATTCCGCCCAAAAAATAATCAAATTAAAGGGGCAGCGGAGGCAAAAGAGAAGGAGTAATTCCATAGCTTACTTAAAAAACGCAAAAGTGTAATCATAGAAATATCCCATTACGGAAGCAACGTCCATATTTCATGGCGTAGTCTTTGGAAAAACCGCTCTCAGGCCTCGGGCGAAAATAATGATGAACAAACACCCAGCAAGCCAGCCGTGGGCAGATATTCACAAAATGAAGCCGAGGAAATTCGGGAAGGGGCGCAAAATGAGGCGAATTATGAGCCGCGAGGGGAGGCGATAAATATTTTGATGGGCGGTGACGGGCATGATTATGCCATTTTTGAAGGAAGTGGCAGGGCAATGGACTTTTAAAAGAGCTCTGGCAATAGATTAATCCGCTTAGGATTAGCTTAGGCTTAGTCTTAGGCTTGGGTTTAGGCTTGGCTTTGGCTTAGGCATAGGCCTAGCTTAATTTTAGCTTAGGCTTAGCTTGTTAGGTTTGCTTAGACATAGGCTTGGGTTTGGCTTAGGCTTAAGCCTAGCTTAGTTTTAGCTTAGGCTGAGCTTTGCCTCGAATTATCTCAGTTTTAGTTTCGCTCCGCTCAGGTCTACACTGATTCTAGGCTTTGTTTAGGCTTGTGAGCCATTGGAACAGACTTGAGCACTAACTCATACTTAAGCTGAACCTAAGGATCTCTCTCAGACTTACGCTTTGGCTTGGCGTAGCTTGGCTACGTACCAATTAGCCTTGGCTTAGGCTTTGACAAAAAAAAAACAGAAAAACCAGCTGCCAACTCCCGGCCAGAATATGACCAAAATTTAGAAAAAGTGAAGGTATGGCGATGAAGGGCAGCGCTGAAAAGAGGGAATGCTCCCGTCGGCTTCTCCATCTGCCGGGGACAATCAGATTCCCCGGGCGGATCTAATGAGGATTTCCGAAAGAGGGCACTTGCCGGACCCCCGTTTCCGGACCAATACAAATGTCGAAAACGGGCTTGGGGGAACAGCTGGGAGATGGTTGTTAGCAAAAAGACTTGAGAATTTTAAAGGGGCAGCGACAGGAAGAAATTGTGGCATGCTTCGCTCGCTCTCTCTCTATCTCTCTCTCTCTCGATCTCTCTCGCTCTCTCCCACTCCCTCTTTATCACTCTCTCTCTCTCTCTCTCTCTCTCTCTCTCTCTCTCTCTCTCTCTCGCTCTCCCTCTCTCATTCTCAAAAACGTTCCAGTTCGCAGTTGAGTTAGATCTTTCGCTCGCTTCTCTCTCTCTCTTTCTCTCTCTCTCTCTCTCTCTCTCTCTCTCTCTCTCTTTCTCTCTCTCTCTCTCTCTCTCTCTTTCTCTCGCTCGCACGTGTCCACAGTGTCCTGTCCCATACTGGCCTGCTCCCTTGGAAGCTATCTATTTCGATGCATTTTTCGCCAGCTAGCAGCGTATTTCTGGAAAAAACTGGTATCTCCCAGTAAAAACAACAACCATTTTCCAACATAATTACCCCAAAACGGCCCCAGATTCGGCCTTTTATGGCCCATCCGAAACCAGCTGTTTGCCGCGGCAACCCCCAAATTTACTACTGACA